ATATACAAACACGCACGCACGCACGCACGCGCACACACACATACACCCATATATACGCACATACACACACATATACATACATACATCTAATAGCTAAAGCGTTCAGCTACCCATCTGAACCCCATCTTATCGGACGGAGACACCTCCTCCCAAGCCTAGCCTCCGCAGGCCCTTGGAGGCACTTTACACATAATAATACCTATAGCCCCAACTAACCAAAACTTCTGGATCCGCCCCTGTGTTGTTGGTTTGTTTTGAACATTTCAGTCAACTTGATCCTATAATACTTTTGGCCATTTGACATCCAGTAAAACTAAAACTAAAATATTATTATTCAAGGTCTTTATTCCGATAAAAAATATTAAAAATTACAGACAGCCAGCCAAATGGATGTATATGAATGTATTAAAAAAATTGCTAAAAAGGTAAAAAAACACTAAAATTAACGAAATTCACAACACAAACATAGAAAAGAACCAGGGATAAAAAGCACAGCACCAGACATAAAACCAAATTAAAATGATAAAAATGGAAGATATAAAAAAAAGGCATATAAAAAACACATTTATTAAAATTTAAAAAAAGATTGTAAACACAATTTTTACTTATCATTGTAATCAAAATTTATCATAATTGTACCGTACCTGGCAGAAGTAATTATTTATAATTTTTTTAAAATTTATATTATATTTTATTTCATGTGTGGAAAATTAATAACAAATAATGGAGGAAAAAACACTGTTGTTGTAACACGTGGCGCCTTGGGTCCGACTGTTCCATTTTTTTCGAAGGAGTGTTCCGTTTTGGGAACAATGGCAATTAGTCGGTTATCCAAGGAGGTATTCACGAAATAGACAACACTGTTGTTGTAACAGCAATGGCAAAATAAGTGAACAGCATCTAATGCAAAGAAATCAGCCATATATTTTTTCACTCACAGTAATGTTTAAAAAGTTAATTTTGGAGAAACGTATGTTTATCGGAATTGGATCTGTAGTTCCACCTTTGCAGAAAATGACAACACCAAAAGCAATTATAACTGCCCATTGCTATCAGGACAAATTACTACGGAAAAATAATATTGTTATTCATGTTTTTTTAAAAATATTGTTAGTGTTTTTTTTTCTCTTGTAAATGATTTTTGGGGTTGCACAAAACCAATTACAACACATTACAACATTATAGAAAGGCAAATTGGAGAACGCAGTCAGATATTTTGAAAAATGTCGAGTTTGTGGCTGAGATTAGAATAATACACTATTGTTATTAGTGGTTTTTTTTGTAATACTGTATTGTTATTAGTGTATTATTGCTCAACCCATATAAAATACAGGTACGTAACATTAAACATCACATTTTGTAATATTGTTAGTGTTTTTTTTCTCTTGTAAATGATTTTTGGGGTTGCACAAAACCAATTACAACACATTACAACATTATAGAAAGGCAAATTGGAGAACGCAGTCAGATATTTTGAAAAATGTCGAGTTTGTGGCTGAGATTTGAATAATACTCTATTGTTATTAGTGTTTTTTTTGTAATACTGTATTGTTATTAGTGTATTATTGCTCAACCCATATAAAATACAGGTACGTAACATTAAACATCACATTTTAGTAATTAAAACATTTCTAGTTCTATATTTCTTTATGTAGTGTACTGTATAATGTTTGCATACACAACATTTGCTGCAACATACAATTTAAGCAATCCTAATATGGAATTGAGACCTAATTTTTTAGCTCATGACAGGCAGCACATCTCTAAAGCTTAGTCTACACTATCAAATTTATGTGACAAAAAAATGTGATGTGCCCATATATGAGTATGATAACGTCATATCACATATTATCAAATTGTATCAAAAAATGTTGAACGTGTTCAACTCTATGTTCCATCACATTTTATGTGACGCTTTTTTGATGAAATTTGATAGTGTAGAGAAAGCTTTAAGGAAAAAATGTTTCATCAATTTTTGGCCAAGTCGTGGCCCACAAGTGGGTGGGTTGGTTGGTGGGTGTATGCTATTGGTCTTGGCAGCCTTGGCATTGCTAGCCCAATGGTGCCGTCAACCAGAAATCTTATATGCAGTACTTAAACCAAACATCATTAAATGCTAAGAAAATTAAAAACAAATGATCAACACTATTAAAAAGATGACCAACGTTAGTTTATTGTTAAGTACTCTTGGCAAAACATTTCTACAAACGTGTATTTCTGTGTAAAATGTCCATAAACCATCAGATTTATTGAAATAGGTTCATGGACTTTTTATTTTACTGTATACACAGTAATGATTACTATACATCTTAATTACAAAGAATGAAACAATTGTAACAAAGGCTTTACCAAAATACAAATATTATTGCTTCTTGTCCTTATCTACCACAGGACCTCATACATTCCTCAATATATCATAATCAGTCAGAAACAATTATTCATCATAATTTCTACTGTTAAAAGTCTGTTGAACTTTCAACTGGTTTTTCATTGTTACAGCACTATTGTTTGTAAGGTCTTGGCATCTTTACAGTTTCCTAGTCGCTGTTTTAGCCGATCAGCAAGGGATACTGGTTCAGGACTTTCAGCAATCGGAACGTGTGCAAATTGACCAGTCTGATGACATGTTTTATAATTTCTCTTTGTAAACAAATTACATTGAACATCTTTTTCCTTTTTATCATGATTAGGCAATGCAACATCACTTGGTAAAGATTTAGTTATAGGTACATGATTGTCTGCTGCTGGGGAAACTAATTCGCCACCAGTCAACAGAGACGGTAATGTGCAATTGAAGAGATCCGGAAAATCCTTCTGGATTTGACCTTTAAATGATATATCAATTTGTTCGGTATTTTTTGGAAATGTTTCTTTTACACTGGAGGATCCCAAATTTGGTGTCATTCCACCACCAGTGTTGTCAAGTCCTCGAAAACTAGTTGAAAAATCAAGATCTGTGAAGTCAAATTTTGTATCATCAACTAAGACCGAAACCTCGGTACAGGTATTTGATTCTACATTTGTATCATGTAATGAAGTATTCTTATGTTCTAAAATATTCATTTGTTTATCATTTATTCTGTGAGCACCAACATTTGCTTCAGATTTATTTTCATTTAAAATATCAAACAGAAGAAAATGGTTGCTGTTTGAAGTCTGAGAAATGCTGTCAGTGTTATGCGATGTTGTACAAGGAATATCATCTACTTTTTCAGATGAAACTTTGGCAACTTCAACTTTTTGTTCACAGCTCTGAGATGGTTGCATCTCAAGAGCAGTTTCTTCTTTAAATTGATTAGAAAAGTTTGGAGTATTTTTCAATACGCTTACATCAGTTTGAATCTCTTCAACAGCAATAAATTTCTTCACATCCTTTTTATTTTCCTTTCTCTGTCGGCTCTTTTTCTTCAAAACAGATTTCATAATTATTCGTTCACATAATGGCAGTACTTCAGGACACTCTTCATCTTGCACCTGCTTGTTCTCTTCATGACAAAATACTTCACTTTTACTGCCAGTATTTTTTACTAATTGCTTCTTACATTTTACCGTTTTCTCTTTTTTGGAATTCTTGAATTTGACAACATCATTATCATCATCGAATTTCATTGTTTTACCAGAGTTACCATTCAAACTCTGAACAGATATCTTTTTTTGATATCTTGACTCAAGTTCTAAGAAGACCTCTTCAATCCAACTGTCTCCTAAGTTCTCATCATTTATGTTGGATGATTTGGAATTCTTATATGATCTATTTTTTTTCATCCCACCATTATGACTACTGGACTCCTTTCTTCTTTGGAGTTTTAAAATGTTCTCATCTTTACAATTCATTTCAGCTGGGATTAATAATGGTTTGTGTCCATGTCCCTTATGCATTTTATCATTATTAGATAGGTAAGCACCTTTTTCTACTTTAACATCCTTCTTTGGAAGATGTTGCGACTCCACAACTGGAATCTTCAGCTCTTTATCTTGGCGGTTACCACTGCAACTTTGCAGAACCTTTTGATGATTATCATCAGTTGCAGTTAATTTATGTTTCAAAAGATCACCATACTGGTTGCCTGGCACATCAACATTTTGTTTAAAACAATTCTTCTTACATTCTTTTTTTGAGTTCTTGGTGCCCTTTGCTTTGGGATGTGCAGCCATACTTCCTGTAGATATGTCATTGGACTCAGTCAGGCATATCTTACTAACAGCATCTGTTAGAGAGCCAATGTCAGTCATCTCATCCTTCAAGTCACTTGTGCTTGCACTCGATTTCTTAGCTGTAATGATGAATAGAAAAATATATCATCAAAAGCTTATTTTTGCCCTCTATAAACATAAACATTAGGCCAAAAAGGTCAACCATAAAAATCTCAACAACCTAGGAATGATTTTTTTGTCATTTTTAACCAAAAAGGAACCAAAAATACTGTTCTTGAATGATGTTCCAAAAGACCACAATCCAAGCTTTAATTAATAACTTTTATACCTTGAGATTTTATAAACCAAAGTTCATGTGGAGCATGATGGTTGGCACTGAAACCTAGAATCAGGCCGAGACTAATCAGTATTAACAAAAATTGGATGGATGGATGGTTTACTTATTTGGTGTAAACACCAAGGATAACCCACGAAAGTCTGATAAAGACTTATTTCCAGTGGGGTCTTTCTGGTGGTGATTGAGCTGTACACAAGGAGACAATCCTCTAATCTTTTCCAAAGAGTGTACTGCAATCTTTGACATGGGCCAATAATGCACACGGGACTAACGGCTTATACGTTTCATCCAAAGTCGGTGCACTATTGTAACTTACATTTCAGCCCTCCAGCTGAAATACAAGCAGAGCAGCGATGGGAATTGAACCGGAGACAAAGAGATTTCCACAGTTCAGCGCACACTCAGTGGCTACCATCAGTTTAGCCAACTGAAGTAAGTTGCACATTGACCAAAAGCCAATGTGCTTGGGCAATACAACGTATTTTTGGCCACACTGAAATTCAATCTTATTCTTGCATTGATTAAAATACAAGGCCCATACAAAGGCTGAACCCCGAGGCCATACAAGTGAATGGTAGGTCGTGTATCGTTCTATCAAAATAGGTCCCTTGCGATGTACAGAGCAGATGATTATTGAGACGGACACTTGAGAATAACACATGCGCAAAATATGTTCTAAAAGGGTGATTATGAATCATTCATGAGATTTTACCAAACTATCCTACGTTAAATAATTTTGCTAACCGCGGTGTATAAAGGCATTCCTTTGAGTGATCAAAACAAGTTTTTAGTTATGTTTTCAATCAAGTACAAGTTCACTACATCATCTGCACATCGTACCTGACCTCCTATAATTTTGTCCAGAAATTGAATTTGTATTAAAATTAGCCCATAAATTTAAAAAAACTATGGAATTCCACGGATCCACGGAATATTCACATGCTGGCAATCATGAGATAAACAATAAAAATTCATTCTCAATAGAAAGCTCTATGTGGACATGGTGGTCAAAACATTTAGAGTCTTGATTTTCAACATCACCATCGCAATCATCATCATTATTATTACTTAATTATCATTATTCTATACTGCTTACTGTCAAACAATTATATTATTGATTCAACCATTTAAAGTACTTACATTTTTTCTTCGTCTTGGAATTTTTAGCATCCAAAAAGGTCTTCAGTATTTCCGGAAATGCAGATTGGAATTGTTCCAAATTTTCAACTGTGGTGTAAAACTCTGGTTTATCTGTATCACCACTTGACATCATTTCTGTATTAATAATAAGCATAACATTATATCTTGTAAGTTTATTAAATCAGAATAATGTACCATCTTCTAATTCAGAGTTTAAACAATCTTATCTTGAAAATCAATATTTTTTATGTTCTAATTAACTTGACTGTCTTTTTTTTTTGCTCAGTTTTTGCTGCATAATGAATTACATTCTCAATCAATTGAAATGCATGTCTCTCTCCAATTAAAGACTAATTATGGGACTTGGGTTTCCATGGTGTTTAGCAGCATTGGTCTCTAATTAAATAAATAAATGAGACAAATTAAATAATAAAGTCAAGAGTTTTGGATCACAGAAAAGTGGTCTTAAATGGGAGGGTTCCTTAATTAGAGGGAGACCTGTCATATAATTTGAAGTGGATGGCTTACCCTGTCTTTCCCAGTGGACCTCAACACACTGCACACCTTGTCTAACTCTGGTCTTGACTATCTCAACAGGTTTAAGGTAGTTTGAGCCGTTCTCTATACCATGCTCAATAATTTCATTCATGTCGTGAGATGAGATCATGGGAAGTACTTTCTCCTCTGTGTACTCATCTGGCCAGTCAAGCTTTATTTGATTATAAGTCTAATGAAATTAAAAATCAATCAATCAAACAATTAATACATCAATAAATTGATCAATCAATCATTGGAATGATAATGTAACTGACTATTGTGGTGCATTAAAAGATTACTGGAAAAAGTTATCAATAAACTCAATCTGAAAGCCTACAAAGAAAATGTAACCGTATGCTACCTACCAGACTAGAAATTTGCATACAATCATCAGTAGCGAATCCAGAAATTTGTAATATAGAGGGTGCCCAGGAGGCATTTTCACAAATAGAGAGTTTAGATTACCTCATCTCCACCATGGTTGGGGCTGAGGTAAGAACATTTATGACCATAGTACCTTTATGGCTCTCTCAGACTTAAATTTAATTTAATTTTCTCTTTTCTTCATTTTTACAATAATTTTTAACAAACTTAGGTCCCCCGCAACCCCCGAATCTGCTATTATTGCTCATAGCTATAAAACTCACAATGAAAGAATGGTATAAATCCTCCTTCATCTCCCTGAATCATGATTACCCTTCACATATTGAGAGTACTGTACTATGATACTGATATCACAAAAGCATGTGACATGCAACATGAATATAACATTTAAAAAAATCACCCTGTACAAAAGTAGTGGAAAAATTACCTTTATTTTTGCCAGGTTTGGCCTTGCCCAGTGAAATGTGTGCTTTGGTTTTTTATCCTTTATTACCATAAACTCATCAATGACAGCTTGGTTTGGGAACCCAGGTACAGACAAGGCCTTCCTAATAAACACAACCACAACACAATCACAATACAATCATAATCTCATTGGGTTAATAATGGATGCTAAATTATAATGTATATTAAACATGGATTGAACTAAAAATGCATTGCAGCTTTAACAGGATAAAATTAATCGGTACTTAATTATATATTAATATTTATATCAATAATTTTATTAAGCTTTCATGTCCCTTCCGTTTTTAATCTTAATTATGTGTAGAGCCAACCATGCTGGTTTATTTTGCAGTAGACCAACAGACACTGCAGTCACAGTGCCTGTACACCTCTATAGCCTGTACACCAGGGGACAATCCCCTTATATGAGAACTTACCTAAAAGTTCACATAGAATATATGACTACAATTGGTGAGTGTACTGCCTGTGGAATGTGAAAGAAATAAGAAAAAAGAACGCAAGTTCGGTGTTCTCACCTCATGACATCTCGCTCAGCCATTGACTGATACGCAAAGTCCTGATGCCATTCCCTGAATCGTTGTAGGATAGCAACTTCATTATCCAACGCTTTTATCAATTTCATTGCCCCTTCCTTGCCTACCCCTGGCACTCCTTTTGGTAGGTAGTCACAGCCAAGAAGGATTCCTAAGCCCACAAGACTTGTTTGGTTTAACCCCAACTTAGTCTCAATGTCATCCATGCTATAACAGTCGATGTGAGGATCCTAAAATGTTAATGTATAATTATTGAATAATAATTAAGTATATTTTATTTAATAAACATGACCGTAATAATGTCAACTGTGATGTACTCCTTGTAAAATTCCCCACAACAAACAATATACTGTACTGTATTATAGCTTAAAGCTGTTTACATTATAACATAATACATTAAAGTATGACATGTCATTGCTATCCTAAAGCCCAAATTCATCCATTCAACAATTATTTCATATTTAATAGTAATATATAAAAACTAGATTCATAATTATTTATAATAAAGGGAATATTGATTAAAGGGAAAATATTTAAAAACATTGACTATAACTATGTTTGACTTCACCTTTTAACTTACTGACCTTGTTATTAAGAGTGAAGTTTCTGTACACAACTCTAGCACCGTAAAGGAATGCATCACCATCTTGCGTGATGCAAGCATCAACCAACTGAAAATAAGATTCACATATTTAAAAATTTAATTATGATTCTAACAAGAGAGATTACATAATCATTTACAAAGCAAGTACGGTGGTTTCAACTACAGTAATTGAAACCACAATCTAAATTGATGAGCCAGTTAAAGGACAATGAAAGTTTAGAATAAATATGATTGAATTTCAGGAAGCAAAGAGAGTATGGAAAATGGAATCATTGAAAGAAGTTCACTTACTCCTTTGATGTTCAAAAAAGCACACATGGCTTCAGCTTCACCTTTGCTTTGTACCCAAGGTATACCAAGATAATCCAACATCTCACAACACTGCAAAATTAAGAGAACACTTGTTTTAATATAGGAAGTTTGAAAACTGATTATTTTAAGCACCATCCATAATTTAGAGTAAATGTAAGACAAACAGCACTTACTTACTCCATAATTACGCCATAATTTACATCATTTTCAAAAGAGTACAAAACATTTGCTATAGAAAGGCGGAGGCTGGAAGTGTAGGCATATGTAGGCTTTTAATGAAAAAGATAAAATTATGATCACAAAATGACACAAATCATCATTTTATTGTGTACTCCTTCTGGGGACCAGAGCAGAGGGGGATCACAGAAAGAGTATGTTTTGTACTCTTATGAAAATTATAAAAATTATGGATGACTCCTTAGCAATGAACTCAGAATGTGTTTCCCACCTCCTTCAAACGAGCTTTAAATTGGCTTCTTCCAGTCTTCTTGGATTTCGGAGCATCAGTCCTGCTAGATTTTCCACGATATTGTGATTTCTGTCTCTTCATCATTGTCTCACATTTCAACTCTGGTGCCTCTCCTTCAATGACGAAAACAGGTCTAATGCAAAGTTGTCTCAAATTAGTGATGCGAAAAAATAGATTCCTAGTATTAGACAGAGAAAACACAAAAAGTAAATGATTAAAAATACTGTGATGAAAACTGAAATCTCAAAAAAAAAAAAATTAAAAAAAATGGCTTTAATAAAAAAAAAGGAAGCAACTGGACCACCCTCACCTCACCATTCATTCAGAATCAGATGGATCACCCAACAGGACAATCATCTTTTTTAATTAAAAAATACTGTAGTAAAATTTACATATAAAAAATAATGTAACTAACTTTATTGATTATTGTAATGGTACTTTTGTGTGTGTGTGTTGCTGTAGATTTACTATAGTCCTACACTTGCTTTGTTTAGTTAGGCATAGCCTCTACTAGGGCGGCACGGCCCTAGGCCTACCTAGCTAGGCCTAGTAATACTACACTTCAAAACGCAAACCTCAGAAATGGTTTCAAAACAACCGCTTGCATCTGTTTGACTCCCTGGCTTTCACAAACCCATATGCTCAAGTCAACAGCAATTACTTGTCCCTTTAACTCATTTAAAGGTTTATGACACTGAACTGGTGCAAGAATTGACCATAGGTTTTGAACACCCATTTTTGAATATCAAAGTATTTGGCCCTTTCTGATAAATTGCATATTTTTTCTTTCATTAAAATGTAGAAAAGAACGAAATAATTTAAAATTGCCTCTTCAAAACGCAGCCTTTTCTAAAACTTTAAATATAAGTAAATCAAAACTTAAATATTTACTTGTGAAATAATTTAAACATAGTAGTTAATTAAATTGGCTAATTTAAAATATAATACATATTCAGTTTCTTTTTATAATTTGAAAAATGTTGACAGTATTTTTATCAACACAGAACATATTTTTGTCAGAAATTAAGCTAGGGTCAATTCCAAAGTGTCTAGGTCAATAAAACGTCATACCAATCAGTCCGCGAAACTTTAGAGAGCTTCCCGCCAGTTTCAAACAAGAAGATGATTTCTCGCCGCTTTCGGCGAGAAAAACGCGTCTAAAATGCCACTCTTGGACCATAAGCCCTATATACTAGCAAAGAAACCGAAAGATTTATATGCATGGGACAAGCAGTATACGATTCCAGTTACAGGAGAAGTTTTCCGAACTCAGGAGTATCCTTGAAATTTAGACAACAATTTATTCTTATGTTGCAGGAAGTACCAAATATGGCGGCCTCCGTATATTTTTTATATTGATTGATTATTTGTTATTATTGGTCTTTTTTAATTGATTAGGGGATAATAGAGATATTAGTAAGCATCTCCGTTACACTATTCAAAATATTTCTGCTTTAAACTGGCAATTTGTCTGACTACTCCTTGTAAATATTAACTTCGTTCACGGAGCGTCAGCCTAGCTCTGAACACAGCGTAGGAGGAGAGCGACTGCTAAGCCGGGTATTCAGAAATTGAATGACCGTGTAGCCAGCACTCTGTTACAGGCATATAATTGCTTTGTCTGCGTCGCCTGTTAGGCGATTGACGCCACCTTCAGTGATTGTACGGGCCTAGCTATAGTCGCTAAAACTTCGTTAAATTACCAATTTAAGAAGGAAAACGATTTTTTGAAGCTATGAAACTGGCTGTATGTTACCATGTGATACCAATTACACACTTATGTGTGCTATATTTCATTTTTCATTGCCTTTTTATTTTGCTTTTTTGTGTTTGTTATTTCTTTATTTCCTAACGTAATTTATTTTTCGAAATTGATAAATAGGCCTATTTATTTAAACAGAAACTCAAAGCAGTTCACTTTACTAGAAAGTTTCTTGCGCCTGAAGAACATTTCTATTTGTATGGACAATTTTTTTTTGTTTTCTTTTGTTTTTAAACTTTAAAAAAAATGATAATAGGTTAGGTGAGATTTTTTTCATACCTGTTAAGCGAACCTGTTGCCCATAAATAAAGATGATTATAAATTAAAATAACATTTTATTTTTTGCCAATTAGCTTACCTACCACCACGAAAAAATGGAAATTTCAGAAAAAAAATTCACTACACTGTTTAGATTTTACCGATAAAATTTTTTATTTTTTTTTTCTTTGTCTGGATGTTTTTGGCAAAAATATTTGCTAAATAAGAAAAATTTAACTTCTTGATGTAAATTTTGTAACGGTTGGGTGGTCTCGTCTTGTTTTTCTTTTTGCTAAAAATAGTTGTTAACGTTTTATTGTTCTCTCTCATGTCGCGTCATTTATAAATTTTAGTATGTTATGTAGGTTTTTTGATGTGCTAAATTGTGATATTGTTATACTTTATAATGTTCCAATTTTCTATTTTAACTTTTAATATATATTACATATCGAGTATTGATCTTTTTTAAATTTATATTTTTTAAATTCTGTACAGCGTCTGTGATAATTTTAATTGGATATTGTTTGCGCTATATTAAATAAAGTTATTATTGTTATTATTTTTTAAAAAAACTTTATTTTAATTTTTCCCCTACCCTATTTCTCATGGATTCAGCAATAAAATCAAAACAAGTCAGATAGGCCAATGCATGATAATTGTGCCATTTTAAAAATAATACTGCAATAATTTGTAATTTATTAATCGCCTTTAGGGGTGCAAACCTAACAAATTTGTATAAAGCACCACAGTGCTTGTTCTGATTGTTTGTAGGCAATATATTCTGCCAAACACTTTCAATGAATGTATGCTTAGCTTTTCCTTAACCTGATAAATTAGCGATTATATAAAAAAGCTAGCCCTCTACAGCTCAAGAAATTGGACGTGCAGGTGTACAGGGAAGTCAAATCTAACATTTAGAGAAGCATTAGATTCTGAAAGGACAGCTGAGGAAGCATTGCAAGACCTATTCCCAACACACTTTGAGAAGATTGCTTGTGAATTGTCTCATCACAGTAAGTTCGTATGCTTGCTTTTACATTCAATTATTAGAAATTGTTACATTATTATTTGTGACCCACTCTACCAAAACTAGGCTCTTGTCTCAAAAAATGAAAAAATACATTATTAGATCTTTGTAATCTAGAGGTCAAAAGCTAAATTTAAAATGATAACAAATAGCAAAGATTAATTATTATATTTTCATTCAAACATGCATTAAGATGGTCAATACATGGGAATTTTAGCTTATTTGAAGGCTTTTGTTTTTTTATGAAAGTGCCTGGTTTTTTCCAGAGTCAGTCACATTTAAATGATGTTATTATTTTTTATTATATTGTATTGACAGTTTACATTGATCTTAGGTTAAATTAAATTAGATTAGTTTCTGAATGCTTTTGCATCTACAGGAAAAAGAAGACTCAAATCTCTATCAATACAGAATGTAAAATTATCATTATAATTATTTTATTTCCAATAAATAGCAATGATTAACAAATCTGATTACATTTGAATTTCTGTGTAAATTCCCAATGTGTATTATGTATAGGTGAATGTTTAAAACATGCAATACATTTTTCTTAAGGCCCTCTGTCTCTTGATCATCTTACGGAGCAAATCGTTGATAAGATTAGCCAAACATTTGTGGTTGGAGAATTGGTGGAGTTAAAAGTGAAAGTCAAATCTAAAGTGTAAGTAAATAAAATGCAAAAACAATGTTTTATTGACATTGTTTTCATTTATCAACAAATTAATAATTATTATTAATCATTTTTGTTGTTCTTGTTGTTATTCTTGATATAAAAACCTCATTATTCTAACATGCATTAAGCGAGGAGAAAGAAAAATTTTCTGCAACTTCAAATCATATACTTTATTACAGTAAATTAATATCCCCTGGCATTTTAGATTTAAAATAATTAAAATTTCTTTTGTTTTAGTATCAGAGGGAAAATATTAAAAGTAGAAGAGGTCAGCAATCATATAAAGGTATGGATAGTGTAAAAAAAGGATTTGAAATTTACAACTTAAATTAGATCTAAAGCTAGTATTATAAAAAAAAGATAACTTATTTAATATTAGACAAAAGTTGAAACAATTATTGATTTTTCTACTCACTTCTTCCTCAAATTTATGGAGTATTATAATGAGTCTGTTAATTTGTAATAAAAAAAATATATTTCTTTGTTCTAGTTTTGTAATTGAAACCTAATGACTTACATAATTTTAAAAGAGTATGTAAATTATGATATTGAGTTAATTGCTTAACAGTCATGAAATTGTGTTACTACTGTATAATGCTTTCTATTAACCTTTGATGTATTGTTTTGCAGATAGGCAAACAGACTGGTTCCCCTTCAAGTGATAAAGAGAATTTTACTGGTGATAGACTTCAGTCACCTTCGAAGGTAGGAAGCTGTGACGTAGCATCCCATGATTTAGTCTGATTTATTCATGAATTTTTTGTTATGGGCTATTTTAATCTTTGGCCAGTATACATGAATGGCATTGTCCTATTTTTTGTACAGGTATTACAATTAGACAGCCTTGCAATAGAATAATGCCCTACATATTATGATAAAGTGTTATCATTCCATTGATTTGGGTTTCAGTGGTAGGTCCTGTTTTTGCTATCCATGCATGTCAGTTGTGGGTGCTGTGATAAGCTCCGCGGGTGGCCGTAGTGCAATTTAATAGGCACTAGCTGACTGTTTAATTGGATTAAAGATAAGCGATAAAGTCGATGTTACTCCTTCTGTTCTATTTTCTCTATGCTATAAGTTATCATGATGAATAAGTCATAAGTTTATCACAATAACGTATGTGAACGTGGCTAATGAGAAGAATTTCTATGCCAGTGGAAAGGGAGGTGTTTAGAATTAGAATATTGATAATAGTATTGGGAGGCTTCTTTTAGTATGCTTTTAGGAGATCAAAGGTCTGACACTTGGACACATACTGTAAGGAAGTGTAACTCCAGCCAAGTGGGACTTGGACTGTATAGGTTTTCGTGTACTCTATCCAGTGAGTGAAATACCAGCCAAGTGGGACTTTGGCTGCACTTTCTACATTTTTAACATTAAACTGCATAGAAACGTTACTACTGCCTATGTATATATGTTTGCCTTCGGACTCGACAACTAGGCACCATCTCAGCAGCATTTTTTTTTTAAATTATTATTATTATATCAATAAAAACTAAAACTAATGATGTCAGAGTGACAAAAGTATATAGAGGGGAAAGAGAGTCATGTCTGCTTGGTTTGTGATTTAACATACATTACGTCTGCTTAAACATTATAAGAGTGATAATCTAATAATTTTTTCTATGTGCCTGTAGGTTGGAAACATCCTTTGCAATATTAAGTTGATTGGAGAAGAGAAGATAATTGGCAGCGTACCGGCTAAAGAACTAGTGTAAGTAGTAATGCAGTTTTTCTCGTCGTTTATGTCACTTTGTACGCACCTAAAGAATATTGGCCATTCTTATAGAAACAAAATTGGAAAATATTAACTAGCAATTAGCTAACATAATGAATCTTGTTCTTTTTTACAGACGACTGGAAGAGGTACCCTCTAAGGACATTATTCAGTTGTTTCTTAAAGCCTACACTATCCAAAGCGATTGTCAAAATAAAAGTCTTTGGGTGGTCTCCGAACAATTAGTCAAGAAATACGGTTTGGTGAACAAGTTCCCAGAGTACCTGCTGTCACCATACAAGGTTAAACATTTACTCTTTCAACTTTAAAAGAATATATATGAACAATTTTTATGATCATTTTTAAATGATTCACATTGAATTGATTTGTCTACCTTTAAGCATAGCATTCATGGTACTTAGTCAAATAAATAAATTGTAATGCAATGAAGGAATTTTTACCATTTAAAGCGGATATATTGACAACTAAAAAGCTGAAAAATTACCATAATATGTAAACTCTTGAAGTAAACAAAACTACAGAGTGTGTATTTAACTTTATTTAAGCTGAATAAAAAATATGATAGATTTACATGATAGCATTTTTCCACTTATATCTGCTGTGGGTGAAATCATAGAAATATCTTAGTTTAGTTTGTTGTTTTTATTCAGAAAGTACTTGTAAAAGAGTAAAAACATGATTTGTGGTATAAAAACACAAAAAGTAACATTAAGTCAACACATAAATTTCTATTCTGTTGGCTTGATTAACATCCATCTGCTTGACTTCTCTAATCCATATTTTTAAAGAAGTAATAATTGTGCTTTATTTAATTTATTTGATATTTCGTTTGATTCAGAATTTGTATTGATTCATTTTGCCAGGTTCAATTTGAAAGCCCTAGGAGACGCAGGTCTGAATCAATAGATTCGCCATCGAAAAAAACTAGAACACCTAAGTCTAAAGGACAGACCGATCTCTTTGCATATTACTCTAAAGAGGAGCATTCTCCTCAAGCCTCAGCTAGTTGTACTTCACCAATACCTGTTTACCTGGATCACACCTATAGCTCACCTGCCAGTAAAAACAAACTGAAGTTTCAGTTCGACCAATCGGGAGACGAACAGATTTGTAGAACAAGTGGGGAAAAATCACAGATAGACTCTAAATCAAAAATTAAAAGTAGCTCAAAGGAGATTGTAAAGATTCCTAAAATGCCAAGTAAGGAATCAACGCTGAGAGTTAACCTGTTCTGTAGAGGGAATGAAGACCAGACTGTAAACGTAGTAGACACAGGCAGTAGTAGCAGCAGTATGAGCGATTCAGACGATGACGTTCCGTTACAGAAGCTTGTCCATTCACCTGCGTCTTTAAAAAAGAAGCTGGCTAATAAAACTGAAATTCCTTCTAGTGATGAAGATGTTCCGCTAATTCAGATTTCACGGGACGAAATTAAATCGAACTGGAAAAAGGTGTTCAAAAAAATGTCGGCAGAAAAGGCAAAGTTAGATAAGTCAAAAAGCGAGAAGAAAAACAGTAGTAAAAAGAAATCAAAGAAGTCCAAAGAATCGGAGAAGAAAAAGAAAAAGGATAAAAGCAAGAAAAGCACTCTTAAAAGTTCATCAAAAAAGACAACGCCCACAAAAGTTTCAACGAAGAAGAAAAGCGCAACACCTGTGAAAATGTCTAAAACAAAATCCAAGAATACTCCTAAGAAAACACCAAGTAAATCATCTTTAAAAAGTAAATTATCTAAAGGAAATACACCAAAGAAATCTTCAAAATCACCTAAAAATAAGGTAGGCACTTTCAATTAATATTTTTCGTGAATAGTTGTAACTTTGGTTTAGTGCTTGATTAAGATATTAAATGAGAATAGTGCCTTTTTTTTTATTTTTATTTTTCCAACGCTCTTAACAGAACTGAAAGAGTTATTCCTAATCCCAAAATTGTTCAACATTTCTTTTTACAATCATGATCATATATATCTACTACTCATGAATATTAGCCCACAGTTTTCTTATTGCTTTTAATTAAGTTAATTTTACTAACTCATATCTTTTCTAGCTCATATTTTTTCTTTCTGTATTTCTATCAGTAAAATATTTATTAATATTATATTAAAACATGTTTTTAGAAATCAATGAAACAGATGACACTCTTTGACATTGGGCGCAAGAAGTCAAGCCACGACTCGAGTGACGATTCAGACGGAAGGTATCAGATTGTGAAACAACCGCCAAAGTCTCCAAGGCCACGAACACCCAAGATGCCTGCAATAGTACAAAAGTAATATATTCTAATTTGTCATTATAGAAGTTAGTAATTAGTTATAGTTTATTTTATATAGAAAAAAGGTGTTAATAATAATGTTTTTTATGATTGAACCTGGAGCATTATTCTTAACAAATTTATTCTTTTCTATGTTTGATAGTTTAAGTTAAGTTTTCAGTCTAGGTTTCTGCTCTTACCATATTTTGACTGTCATTGCAAAAGTTTGCTTCAGCAAAATGTATGACTTACATTTGTCATGTGACTACTCAGAAACTTAGACTCAAACTAACTTAAGTTAAACTACTATACTATAAAAACAACAGTCAAGTGTAGTAAAGCGTCCATTTCACGTACCCCTTGGTACAAAGGGGTGTTTGTAAACTAGATCAGGTGTCAGTTTCCAATATCTAGGCCTAGCTATCCCCTGGCATTGAGCGCCGATAGGCTAATGGCGGCCAGGCCTAGCATGAACCGACAGTGCAGCAGCGAGGTCTACCGCACCAGAGCGTAGCTGAATTTACCATCATAAAAACCAAATTATTTTAATCGCTGGCATTCTTCCACTTAACAAAATATTGTTTTAACTCGTAGTCTTATTCAAACATCTGTATCTTTTATGGCCCTTTCTATCATGTTCTTTACAGATACAATACTGTACAGTACATGTATTTCGTGATCATATCTAGCATTCACTGTGTCAATAAGTTCCTGACCCCAACACTCTTGTTTTGTCATCGTAAACATGTGCGCTCAATCCGACGACACTTACGTTGGTAGTTCGTTGTTCTGGTTAGGTTTATTACATTAATATAGTGATTATTATAGCAGAAATAGAAGAAAAGATCAAACTATTAATAAATAAATACAAAAAACTTGATTTTATTAAGAAAAATATACATTATCACTTTGTACAACGTGCGTAATCAGACTTTTTTAACGGTAATAATTGGTCGATGGTGACGTCACCTGGGGCAAAGACCATTCGTAAAATCGACTTTGTAAAATCAATGATTGTATAATGGGTATTTTACTCAATGGGCAATTTCTGTGCAGTTTACTATTTCTATGTTGTTTTATTTTTATTTACAGGTTAATAAGTGCTAAAAAGTCTAACAAACGACCACAGTATATACATTATCTTAGCCTGTGTGCCCGGCAGCTCACGACTATTCAGCGTAACCATCTGAACCCACTAGTCAAAGAGGAGGTAGCCAGAAAACATGAACAGATTCAAAAGAAATTAAAATGGTAAACAAATATCAAACATAATAACAGTATTTTAGAACATTATAATAATATTTAATAATAATAAGAATACATCACATGTATTAAGTTCTTCCTGGGAGGAGTTCCATATTAATAATAATAAAAGAAATGCATAGCAATTTTTTTTTACGTAGAGATACAAGGCTGTTATCAATTCTAATAACAATAGAATATAGAGTTCGGCCTTCAATTTGAGACAACTTTGGGATCTCGAAAAACTTGGGGTGGTCTCGTGGTTCTGTCTCTACTTAGAGATTTAGCTTTATAAAATTGGTCTTGAATTAGATGGGTCTCGGAATTATATAGGGTTTCAAATTGGACTACAGATAGATATAGTAGAGAAGCAAAATCCTGAATGCCTTTACAGTTCTATACAAGGATTTGACTAGAAATAATCAGTCAATTTAAATTAAATTAATTAATTTTTTTAATAGGAAAGCAATGTCGGAAGAAGAAAAGAAGGCATACCTAAAGGCACAGAGGGTTGAAAAAAGCAAGGTATTAAAGGAAGCCAAGCATAAAAGGATTGAGGAAGCCAAAAGACAAAGAATCGAATTAGCTAAGGTAATATTTGAATCAACAATATTATTATATAACCAAAAAAATTAATAATAGTCATTTTCATTAATTTATTTTTCAAGTAAAAAGTACTTTGATCAAATAAGTTATCACCTTCCAATAAAGCTTTGTCCAGATTATCAAAAAATATGCCCATATATAGTCATGGTGCACCTATGATGTGATGTCATGATGTGATGTCATCATGACCATATTTACGCATGTCACTTGTTTTTGTCAAATAAAATTTGATAGTCCGGACAGGGAAAGGGAACCATTGGGCGTATTCGACTGGTTCATTTCGTTGACTACAAATTTTCGTTGAGTATTATTTTCATTCGACTGGTTCGTAAAATAGACTTACTTGGCAATGAAAATTAACGTAAATCAGAGTACATTAATCAGCGTTAAGTTAGTCATGCGTCCAAAACAAACATGGCCGATTGGTGAGTTCAGAAACAACATTTGTGTTAATATAATTTAGATTAAATTTCAAAAAATAAAAATTATAAATATTTACCCACATGAAGTCAAAAAATAATTGTAGGCTAACAGAATTAAAAAACTGGATGAAAATATTTTTTTTTACTAAAAACCCATACTGTCACAAGCTGAAGCAATCTTGATTACGCAGCGTGTATCACGGTAACTATGCAGTCATTTTGTTTTGTCAAGTATTTACAAGTTTTCTATTCGACTGGTCGTCTTCGATAAGTAGGATTTTACCGCTGCGCAGTTGGGCGTGGTTTAACGAAGAACGACCAGTCGAATACTGCCATTATTTATTGAAAATTGCCTAAAGGACACTCAGATCCTATAACCAAGGTCAATATTGCACCGAGTGCCAGTTGTTGGTGCTATACAAGACTTGTTCTTATTATTTATGTTATGTTGAATTTACTCAACAGCGATATGAGGATCAGGAGCTTATTTTGAAGCCATTGATAATGCCTAAGCCGGTAGAACTTCCAGAAGGCCTCCCTAACACCAGGTTTGGCGACATCGCAATGGTTGCCGAGTTCCTAAACATGTACTCGGGTTTACTAATGCCCGATGATCCGTATCCAATCACAGCTGGTGAGTATACTATTTTTCAGTGTAAACATAAATGCTATTTTTTTTATTTCATGATTACAAATAATGAGGACATAAGCATTGACTTTCATATATGGTGCCCTAGGACAAATATTAAATAACAATTGCAGTAGTTTATCCTGGTATGTATGTTTTTCATTGACCAACATTTACTACTTATTTATATAATTCACATAAAATGTGATATTTACAAAACATTATTATTTTGCACTTTTCTTTTAGAAAATCTTATTCTAGCATTAGTGAGTGGAGCGCAAGGATTTGGCTATCTGTCCCGCTGTTTAGTAATTCTTCTTAAAACCCTTTTACAAGATGACATAGCAGAGGTAAGAACCTCAGGGTTATAAAATTTCATTTATTTAATTACTGTATTTAATAGTTATACACAGCAATGTCCAATGACTGAACATTCTTTAAATCTAAATAAAAAGGAAAATACAATTAAATTCTTTTTTTTTTTTTTTTATCAAAATAAAAAAAAAACACATTACAAAAAGAAATCATTACATACTTCTTTCTTGCACACTGTAATAAAAACTGTTTAATTTGTGCCAATTTTGTTTAGGATTACTCAGAACTTGGAATGAAGTTATCCGGTATTCCTGTGAATATGCATACCGCAACAGAGCTTATGCGTCTCTGTCTTCGGCCAAATGACCAGGAAACTGATGATTCCGACAGTGATGAAGAAATTCACCAGGATGTAGACAATGATGTGGTATGTTTACTGTCCTTTTGAGTTTTATTAATCACAACACTTTACATGTCACAATTTACCAACTTACTTCTACCTACATATAATTGATAGCAACATAATCTTTTATCCACAGACCTTTCTTAAGTTGTGTTAATAACGTAGAACTGTTTGGTTCCTTATGCCTATAAAAATAGAGTAATATTAGCTAATTTACACACTGATTGCTCTGAGCTTAGTCCTCTGTTTGTGGCCTACTTTCATATTATACTTATAAAAACACAGCAATTTTTAATTCACTCTTTAGCCACAACATTTAGTGGAGAAGCTAGAAACAAAGGAATTTTATGAATTGGATCCTGATGAAAAGATTGTCTTGTTGATCTGTCTTTGCCACCGTATCATGTCCTCATATTCAGTCATTGATTTCATGGAAGACAAACAACGGGAAGCAACTAAACTTTGGTAAGATTTTGATGCCTTGAACTTCAGGATATTAAAACAGTTTTCTTTGTAGATGGGGACTCCACTCACTTTATCTATAGAAATTTATTTTCTATCAGATGGTCAACTTCATTAGATAATTACATTACTTTGACATTTTTGGCCGGGAATGATAAAGAATATCATTCCAATATATTTTATCCACATAGGAAGGAGAAGCTTAAAATTCTGAAGGAAAAGAATGACAAAGTGAAGGAAGAAAAGAAGAAAATCAAGGAACAAAAAGAAGCTTTACAGGTTCAAAAGGAAGAAGAGGAGAAGAAGAAAGAAACTGCAACAAACAATGGAGAAAAGATTCAAGCTAAGAAAGGTAAGAATAAGGTTGTCTTTAAAGCCTTGTCCACACTATCAAATTTTATTTGACAAAAAACATGTGACATGCCTAAATATGGTCATGATGACATCACATCATCACCATATATAAGCACATGTTTACTATATATGGGCATACATCAGATTTTTGTAAAAAAAAAAATTTGAAAATCTACACATCTCTTTGTAATTGAGAGGTCAAAAGCTAATAACTGATGCAAACATTTTTTAAAAACTGATAACAAATGGCGAAGATATAATAATTTGTATTTTCGGTCCAACATACATTAAGATGGTCAATACATGGGAATTTTAGCTGATTTGACTTTTGATACAAGCACCTGGCTGGTCACATTTGTGAATTTGTTATAAGAATGCTCACAATGCAGTAAAAGAGATCCTATTGTAGGTTGATGCGTTAAAAATAATGCTGGTTAAAATGACAATCACTTTGATCTGGAAGAAATAGTGCTAAATAAGAACTGATTGTTGTAAACTTTCTCACTTTTGATATTCTAAATTATATATAATTTTACAGAAGTGAAAAAAACAGAGAAGGTAAAGGAAGAGAAAGAGGAGGAAATTGTCATTCCAGAAGATGACAATGATTTGATATCCGTTATCAAACGGCGGCGATTACAGTCTGCCAAGATGAAAGCCGAGCGTGCCGAGCAAGAACGCAAGGAGAAGGAAAGACGTATAAAAGATCAAGAAGAGCTAAAGAAACAGAAGGAAGCAGAGTCTTTTGAAAAGAAATTTGAGGTAAATAAAATTTGATTGTATGAACAGGATTTTACTAATGATAAAATGACTATGAGTATATAGCCTGAAAACATATTTATTAGCTTTTTAAGAACTAGAATCTTAAATTTTGATTTCTTTTTTTTTGGGTAATCCAGCTATTATAAAAATATGTATAATTAACTTACTAAACATGTTTTAACTCTTGACAAGAGGCATAACTATAAGTGAAGTGATGGTAGCTCTGACCTTCCGATGCTATCGGTTATAAACGCCACATATTTTCCATATGGGTCAAAAAGATGTAAAGGTAAAGAAATTCTGGATCATCATTTGGATCCAGAATGAACTGATTTCCTCATATAAGAGTCTAAGATCATTATTTTCAATAGCAGTCATTAAAAATAATGAACGCTTGTATAGCATATATAAAGTCAATTGTCTGGTACCCATTTTCTCATTTTACAGGAGGGCATTCAGCTAGCTAAGTCAATATTGCGTAGCCAGCCACTAGGGGTGGATCGTAATCACAGTCGATATTGGCTGTTCTCCAGTGTTGTGCCGGGTTTATTTGTTGAGAAAGGTTGGGCTTCAAAGGATATCGGCAAATCGTTTAAAGAGGATGATAATGAAAGTGACACCGATTCAGATGACTCCGACCTGCCCACTGAGGGTATCGAATTAACGTAAGTATTGTTACTACATAAGCCCTCCCTCTTATTTTTATTCAGAATGCTTAGATTTGTAATTTTTGAGATTTTGAAGGTAAGTTGTACATATAATATGTAAGTCTCATTTAAGATAACAACTTTATTCCTCTATATTATGAAAATACAGGTCACTCTCCAATAATTTTTGGGACCAGTGTTTCCATGGTATTTAGCAGCTTTGGTCTTTAATTACACAAATATAAATATAAAAGACATTGTTGATTAGGGACCACAGAAGAATGGTTTTTAATTAGAAGTCTTTAATTGGAGATGCCTTCAATTAGAGGGAGACCTGTAATTCTAAATTATATTAAATCTAATTTATGAAGTAATTTGCAGTAAAATTGAATGAATTTTATTTTTTTAACCTTAAATAAACATATAACTATTTAACATCTTAACTCATGCAGATGCAAGTATATTTGATTGCATATAGACCAGTGAAAAAAAAAATTAAGTAGCTAGCTCATGCATATTTGAAATGTTATGTTAGCATTCAGCACTGTTACACAATATAAAATATTTGATTTTTTTGTGTGTGTTTAGCATTCCAAAGGTAGGCCAGAATATGTGGTTCCAGTATGAATCCCAAAAAGATCTTGATACCCTGATTGAGGTCATGAATAACCAAGGTATCAGAGAAAGCAACCTCTACACGGTCCTCAAGAAAAACTACCAGGATATTGTCAAGTCAATCAACACATCCAGGCGGTATGTTTATATTTCTGATATGAATATTCATAAATTATTTAAATGAAATATTTAGTGCCAATTCAAAAAATTTAATTGAACTTTCCAGATTGCCAATCAAACTTAACCAAGTCACCAATCAGAACAGTGTCATTAATATATGCATGTCCATCAAACACCCTGTTATCCCACAAATGCATGTACATTTATGCTATTGTTTTGTGGGACCTTAGCAACAATATCCAAGGGGCGTGGCTTAGCGGAAAGATCCATTATCTTGAGCCTACCTTTTATTACATATCATTTTGAGACTATTGATTAATTTACTATGTTTTTTTAGATCTAGCCCTGGGCTAAGAGCGTGTAACGGACCAGAGGATCTTCTTGCCGCTTTCAAAGAAGACCTTCTGGATGAGGAACTTCATATACGACAGGGAAATCTGGGAGGAGTCGAGTCATTTCAAGTCTGGGAGAAGAGTTTGCAAACTGCAGAGGATCTAGAAACACTGGTTAGTGATTAGTGAATTGTTATTTTCAAGATCAAAGATAATGTTTACCTACTTGAAATTTAAAGTGTTCAACTTGAAAACTAAATTGTGCTCATTTTTGGTTGGGCTTGCACCTATTATGGACCAGAAAATTAACAACCATTGTGAGCATGCAAATACAGAATTCTTACCCTAGGCTTGTACATAGAACCTAGGTATCACACTGTATAGAGTTTTCATTCTGAAAGTATAATGATGGGCTTATATGCAGGTTTACCATTTTACTTGAAATTACTGAAATGTCATATGGTATGGCTTATACTTGAGAATATATGATACACAAATAAGTACACATTTAACAAATTAACAGATCCATGGTCTCTTTCAATTCTATTAGTATTATTACTGTTTCATTACCATTAATGAATTAATTATTATTAATAATTAATTATTAATTATTATTATTAATTATTATTAATTATTGTGCTTGACAGGGGCGTTTGCTGATTGAAACCCAGAGCTCCACAAATCCAAAATTCTTGCAAGGTGTAATGGCAATGAAGAAGCACAAAGTAAGAGTAGAAGAAAATGATGAGGATGATGGAGGTAAGTGGTCCCAATGATACCAATCATCAAGGATGGTTGTGTAATATCCTTTAGTTTAAGTGCTGCAAGTTAAATTATTCAGAAGGGGATTTCTAATCCATTCATACAACTGAAATTTATTTTTACACAGGCCATCATAGATATTTTTATTATTTCATTGTTTTACTGTATATTTTAATGTTTTTATTTTGTTTATAGATGCTGACAAACCTGAAGTTACTGAGAAAGTACTTAAATGGCGTGAGGCAGTAGAGAATCCCACCACCTTATCAAGACTTCATGTCTTATTAGGGATATTTGAATCCAGTGTGAAATGGGAGAAGTCTGCAGAAAATGCAAAGTGTAAGATCTGCAGAAAGAAGGGCAACGATGATAGGTTATTGCTATGTGATGAGTGTAATCAACCATTCCATCTATTGTGCTTACGCCCTGCTTTGAAAGCTGTTCCAAAGGGTGAATGGAAGTGTCCATCTTGTAAGGTAGGCTGCTATAACAGTGAGAACTGATTTGATTAGTTCAATAAACTAGTATTTTATATGAAAAATTTAGTATTTAGACTATATATGTGAAAGTAATTATGTCTTACAATATTACTGCTTGTAACTACCATGAAGTGCCTCTTTACAGCTGCTAGGTAAAGCACGGACCACGCCCATACGCAATTAAGCACAATGACGCTGCAAGTTATGGTTATTCACCTACCTTTACCACAACCTTACTGTCGGATGTACCCCTATTCAAGTGCCATCCATTGGTTTCTGTTCATTCCAGTGTTATATAAAGTTATATTCTGCCTTTTACAATTGATATGTAGCTTTATATGCATTTGCAAGAAAATGAATGTTAACATCCTAGTGGAGTGATTTCAATATTTTCATATAATATAAATAATAATAGTATATACACATAAACATTTATACATTACATTATAAATTGTGTGCTAGCTTCCTGACCATACCCAGACCATTCCATGTAGTATCATTTAGTAAAGCAAGATAGATAAAAAAAGAAATAGCATATTTGATGACAGTGGTAATATTTCATATGTTTTATGCTCCTTAGCCTCAAACTCCACGACGTACCGCCAGAAACCGTGTCATTTACGAAGATGACGATGATGATGACGACGATGATAGTGACGGGGAGGAGGAAGAGCACTATTGTTTGGTTTGTGAGGAACAGGGAGAACTTCTAAATTGTTCTGAGTGTGAAAGCTTCTACCACAGGGATTGCCATGAACCCCCTCTTCGAAATTTCCCAAGGTAAGGTAAAATCAACCAGGAAGGGGCGCTTTAAGATCAGCTTGCTTGTAAGAATATACCTCTATAGATACAGTCAAATAAATAGTAAGATAACTCTTCTGAAACCGTAGAATGAAATAATTTTCTTGGTATGGTGAATCAATGAAGTAAAGTATTTTATGTCCAACTCTACAACTAAAAATTAATACATTTGATTTAATTTATTATTTATTTACCTAGCGGTACATGGATGTAAATACTGTTACATTTAACTAAACACCAAATGTATTTTATTTTCTCCTGTAGGGGAAAATGGGTTTGCAGTGATTGCACTTCCGGTGGGAGGAGGCGAACAAAATCAAAAAGGGCGAGGAATGCTGCTAAGAAAAAAGCCAAGAAACCAGCACCAGCCTCTCGAAAGCGGATAAGATATGAAGATGATGATGATTCTGACCAGCAAGTGGTAACCACAACAAAGAGAGCTAAGCAAGTATTTGAAACAAGAGTAAGTGCTATTTAATATCTACACCTAAGATTGTTGATAGATACATCTTTATACGGTATTAGATGCAAATATGAGGTTGACATGAAAAAATGATTTATTCATGTGCATAATTTGCAGTAAAGTTGGTTATCAATTACTTTGTGTTCCATGAGACAGTCCGTACTTTTAATTTAAAGTTTCGGCAACACACACATGGGACCATAATTTACCAAGAACCAACAGATTTTACATCTCTGCAAAGAATATAATTGGCTGCTCTTCTTGCAGTTCATCCCTCTACCATAAAACATAAGTAGAGCAGCTGAATAGAATTGAATAAAGGTACTTCAATTTTCATGGTTCAGTACACACACACACACCAGCTGCCACCAACAGTAGTCAAACAGTTGTTTCCTTGAACAATTGGACCAGATAGTTGATGGAACAAAGAAATTCACAACAGTACCGGCTCCCAAATTAAATACAAATAATTAGAATAAAAAATACAACTATTAAATTACTTTTTTAATCATAATGACACCCAGTAAATCAACTTTCATTATTACAACAAATTATTTTCTTTTTCTTTAACAGAATTCATGCTTAGAGTTTAATTTTAAATGATATTGTAAGTTGTTTTATCCCATCAGAAATAATCTAATTCATTTTTTAAATGTCTTGAATAGATTCTTGAAGATATATTATACAGACTTAAAAAATCAAAGGATAGCACACCATTTAGAAAGCCTATTGACAAAAAAGAGGTAAGGTTTTGATGGCTTTTAAGTTATATTTATGAATTTATTAAATAATAAAATTTAATGAAAAAGAGTAAATTATAAATAGTGAGGCAAACATAATGTACAGGACAAATGACCCAGTTCTTAGAAACTCGAAATTTTTTTTTTTTTTCAATTGTTTCAATTCAATGTTTATTTTCACCATTTATCATTTTTCCATAAATGTAAAAACTGATGTACAGTTACAATTTGTGTTTTGTGGCTGCCCACCATGTCCTAAATGAATGTGGTGTAATTGTTGGATTCAGACTCGTTTGTTGTAGAAATGAATTCATTACACGTCAACATTTAGTATTACTTAAATTTGAGAGAAAAATAATCATGATGTTTATTTTTTTTTTGCAGGCGAAACAATATTACAAGGTTGTAAAGAATCCTGTAGACCTACAGACGATACAAACAAGAACCTTGTGTTTAGAATATAACAATTATGACAGTTTCATAGCTGATATAAAACTCATATTTAGCAATGCAGAGCTGTATTATGAGGTATGTATAGAAACTTCCAAACATATAGTTATAAAATTAAATTTAAAGAGATCAAGTTTTTGTTGATTTTCCGACCTTTTACTACAATCATCTTTATCTTGATTGCCAGCAAAGAATATAAGATCTGTACTATTATTATGTTTGTTATTGGCAAAGAATTTTTTTCTCTTTGTTTCGTTGTGTGCACAATATGGCCATTGTCCACAATAGAAATTTGCCGACAGGGCGTCTGAACCAAAGGGCTGACTAGAGCCTCAGTTAGGGTCCTGAAATAAAAAGTATCTGGTAGGGTTTACAGGGTTTTTATGGATTGTTATAGCCCAAAGTGTGCTTTTAGACCACAATATTAAGAATTGACAATAAAAATAACGTTATTTGAATAGGAAAATTATTATCTTTGATCTGACGACCTCCTTGTGGCGTTGGATGATGGGGGTTCAGGCCTGTCTGATGGGGGAAAACTCCTGCTGGTTCCACCACTGGCTAGGGAATTACAAAAACTTAACTGCAGCTCTACCTTTGGTGGAAAATTAGGCACAGTCCACCAGGGGACATTCCATTCCTTAAAAAATGTTGTAGAATAAATGATCCACCTTGTAATTCTTTATTGCAGGAGGGTTCTGAGGAGGTGATGCAGTCGGAGAGACTGGAGAAATTGTTCATTGAAACGTTACAGAGACTTATACCAAACGCAGTGTACAGCCGAACATCTAAGGGCCAAGAGTCCAGTTCAGATAGTGACAAAAACCATAACACCAGAAAACGACGCAAAGTTTGTTTATGATGAGCAAGATCCTAGATATTTTAAAACTAATCTATTATGTACCTTTTTTTTCTAGTAACAATTGCATTTTAATGTAAAAAAGTAAATGTTTGTACAACAAAAAACATGTTTCCAATATCTTACTGAACCATATATTTCCATTATTATTTCACAAACATTTTTGTGCTGTGTGAGTAAATATTTACTATGTATTCTACTGTAAGAAGCATAAGTTGTTTAATTCATAACAAATTTGTACTTCACACAACATATTTATTTCAGTTGTACTGTGTGAGGATTCCTATTGCTTTGGTATATTTTTTGGAATTGCACCCGATTTGCAACGCGATTCCTATTGGTTAGATATCTGTTACCAATTACACATGTGACTTTAGTGATGATTCCTATTGGTTAAATCTCTGTTATAAACACAGTGTCATCTGTAAAGTTTTGTGAATTTTTATTTTACTACATTGGTTGGGGAAAATAATTGGTTTGTACTGTAATTACACTGATCATTTTTAAATGGAAATACTCGGTGAAAAATTAATTATTAAAAATCATTTAATTTACAATGATTTTTATGATGCAAAAAGAGGTAATTGTTAAAATCTTACAAAAAAAAATGAATTTCTTATTTATAAATTTATAATTCCAGCAACTTTTGATAGCATATTTTAAATGTTAAATTAAGAATCTGGATTTGTTGAAATTTGTTGATTGGTAAAAATTTAAATCAAAAGAAGATCAAAGAAAGAAGGAATAGGCTGGAAATTTTTCGTGAGCACTTGCCTCATTTTTCCGACTTTTAGCTTCATTTTAAAGCTGATATTTATGGTTTTGGTTTTTTTATCAATTAATTGCCTTTATGGTTTATATTGTAGGTTTTTTTTAGTTTAGTTTTGTTTGATATTATATGTAGTTCAATTTGATACAACATGTCTAAATAGGTAGCTCCCTGATGCAAAGAGTCAGTTTATTAGATCATATGTTATTTTTAATAGTAAAAGCAATATTTCCTCAATTATTATGTGATCTACAGTATTATTTTTTTTAGTTTGATGATAGTGCTCATTGGGTTTGCTTTCATGTTTGTGAATTTTTGTTGTCAGCATGAAAAGAAATCTTAAAATCAAGAAAAACCTTCATAAATGATGTCATGATCTAGCATTTAAATTACATGATACAAATATGGGCGAATTGTAGTTAGCAAGAAAGTAAGATATTCTAACAGATTTTACCAGAGATTAAACAAATTTGAGAAGGCTTGAAGACCATATTCCTCATTTGCATATTTATTAATAACAAAGTTTCTATATAAAAAGATATTAAATTTACAGGTTTAAGATACTGTTCAAGATTTTTTGATTACAAATTCCTAATGTATCCCCATTTAATATGGAAATTCCAAATACAAGATTATTTTCCCAGAAATTACAAAGCTATGTTAATCCATGATGAACTTAAAAATAGGGTGATGTATATGTAATTAATAAATTGTTGGTGGATGTGTATAAGATGTGTAGTTAGATTTTGCTTTTAGTTTCTATAGCGCTCATGATATGTAAATAACACAAACTGGACTGAAGTGTAACTATACAGGAACAATACTAATATTATGCTCAACCGTTTATATAATACCAACGCTTGCATACACCTTTGTGCCTCACCTGTGTATAAATGTCAGTTTTACCTTTGGTTAAGATGTGAAATAAATCCATTTGATATGAGAATTGTGTGTACTTTCCTCTGTTCCAAGGTGTTTTATGTAATACCACATTTATACAAATAAACGCCTCAGGGGACTTTATTGTTGAGAAGGGTTTTTGAGGGGAGTTTACTAGGGGATACAGGATTTGGCAGTAGGGGGTTCTGTGAGAGTCCATACGCCCTCAGGCCTACCATGGTTGGTGCGGAAATTGCACTCTTAAAAATCTTACAGGTACCATGTTCATATCAACAGTACAAAACAAAAATGTTTGATATAATTTAGGGGTGCGACCTCACAGTTGCTCCCCCATCATCAGCCCCAAGTTTATTCGAGGGAGGAATTTATTTATTGTGTGTAAGGAAGGAATCCCTCTTTTGAGGGAGACAATTATTCAAAATTAGACTTTATTCAAAACAGGGCATTTATTTAAATATATACGGTATATAATGCTTGTTTTCCATAAAATCGCTACATGCTATAGCTGACAAATTTGTCGATGCTGATTGGTACGCAGTGTATTGATTGCAGAGAAATTCTGTAGATAGCGACAGTGTTGCAATTTTATGCTTGGATGATATGGATCAAACAACTGCAATATGGTTTACTATTGTATCGTTTAGAGATTGCCAGCACTATTCAGTCTACTTTGCTGGGCCAGTGGTGGCTCCAGAAATTTCAACAGGATCCAAGTCATCCAACAGTGGAGTCCGAACCAATGGGTTGCCTAGACCTTCATAAGGACCCTAGAATAATATCCCTATGGCAGGGTTCATGGGGAGAGCATTATTTGGCTTAGACTGGTTCAAAATTGTGCTTTTAGACAACAATATTCAATATTCAATATCATCAATAAATTAATATTTTTAGTGATGTCATACAATGAGGGTTCATCAGTGGTGGTGCTATGTGGGGGTGGGGTGCTAGGGGATGCAGCCTTTTCCCTTGGGGAGGCTTATTTTTTTTGGATTCTATAACTAAATACAGTATTAATATTATAATTTATTGGTGTTGTTTTGTAGTTATTATTAAGGACTCAGGTTATAATTATCATTACTATTGTCACCATTAACATACAAAGTATAAAGCAAAACAAACATTAATGTTAATTTTAATTGTAAACCAATAAATATTTACATATTTTGCTATATTTAAGCCTATAAATTTCATTTTTTATTTTCTTATTCAACTTTATTTAATGAAGGTGACCCAAAACAGTGGTCATGGGGCCCTCACATTAAATCATTACAGTCCATCAAATCCACAATCCCAGAAGCTATACAGAAATTAATAAAACAGTATGTAATTCAAAAAATAAAAAGGTCTGAATCAATAAATATAAAGAAAATTATTCTACTGATTTCTTCTATTGGGATAACTCGAGTTGTTATCCTGGCAACGTATCAATCAGCTGGTTAATTTAGGTCAAAGTTATTGATTGACCAATCAGGAAACAGCGCGCCGAATTCGCTATGCGCCTAATGAATGAGTGATGGCTGTGATATTGATGTCAATTTGTACAATAATAAACCCTATATTTTAGTGTTTTAACGTATTTATTTGTTTAATAACAAATGGGAACAAGGCAGGTATTAGCTGTGATAGGAAATTGAATGCATAGAAATGTCTCAGTCAAGATTTAGGTGAGTTTTTTAGGTTTGTTGCTTACGACGAAAGATTACCCCTCACAAACAAAGCACTCACTCACTCAGTCACAATGATGCCAAGCCTGGACACGAGTGCAGATAATGTTATGCAAAGGCGTACCTAGGCAGGCCTAATTCACATTATTTCGGCTAACCTAGTAACTGAACATCGTCAATATGAACTATTATTGTATTATATTAATTTTTAAATATGAAGCTTTAAATGTTCAACCAAAGAATACGCCTTATTAAATAACTGCGATGATCAAATATTTCGTAACATTTTTACAATCGATACGTGTTGATTTAGCCTATGCATACTTAGCCTAGCTTGGCGCCTAGGCCTATGTGTTTTTTAGGAAGGAAGACTGAATTCCTATGTACCTGTAGAGTTGAGGAGCACTGTATATATAAACCAGACGTGACAGTGCTCATTTATAGCCATATTAAGTAGTGTACCACCAGGCTAAGGAAGTCTAGCATGATGTAAATCTAGGCATAAGGGCACATAGAAAAAATGTTAAATTATCACGCCCGCCCATGTCAGAAATTTGTGATATATTGATACAGGAATAAAAACAATTTTTTTTTGCCTCATCATTTATTTCAACAGTCTAAAAAAACAATGCAATTTCGTGACTGGAAATATATTTTCTTTAAAAAAACAATAACATTACAGCAGTTTTATATAATATTTACAATATTCTTGCCAAATAAAGACAGTCCCTCATCACAAAAAAAAAAGCAAAATTCTATTGTTCCCATAAAAAAAATAAAAACTGCCCACCCTCATCACTTTTTATAGAGTAATATCTAATAATTTTTTCTATGCGCTCTAATCTTAAAAGACTAGGCCTACTGCACTTAAAAAAAGTTATAAATTTAAAGAACATTTTTAAGTGCAGTAGGCCTAGCCTTTTGCTACCAACATCTGGGTATTTAGTAACAACCAACAAAGTAGGGATCTGTTATCCACCCAGCTGATGGGTGCATACAAAATTAGATATCGGTTGTCCACCAAGCCAACAGGAGGGTAGATGAAAGTTAAATTCATATTTAGTGGCACTGACTTCAGTAAATGGGGTAAATAAACAGATTGCTTATGGATTTGACAAGTTTAAGATGTATCATACGATTGTTTTTGTTTGGTGCATTTTGTCATGGCTGACAGTTTGTGATTATCATAAAGAGCTGACTAGGAGAATAACCAATTTCTATCTGTGCATCCAACGGATGGCCGTTTGGGTTATTACAGTATTTTCTCCACATACATGTATCCTACCAGTCGTTTACTGCTTATCTATACAGCGAATGGCTGCATTATCACCCTACAAAATGCATCACTTTCTTTACATCATTATCATTAAAATTATTTATTATAATTCAATATTAATAAAATTGTTTTTCTCATAGTTGTGGTTATGATAGCGATTCTAGTGATGATTATGGGGACTACAGTGACCAAGATTGCAGTCAGGGCCTATTCCAAGGGTCACGAAGGTTTGCAAGTCGGGGTAAATGGACAAAGGAAGAGGTGAACAGACAGTTATTAATAAGATGATTTAAACAACATTTATAAATGTGGCCAAAGCACAAGATTCAGACATATGTTTTTGTTTGTTTAACATACCAAACCATTCTGACAATAACAGTATTCCAAAATTCAATTTATAAGCGATTTGGAAGAGTTCACTTGCATTCCAACTGAGAAAAGCTAACTCGTTAAAGAAGCCTAATGAGCATCCTAGCTCTGTTAATGATTTGCACTACTGTATGTCATGTGGCTCCCATTACCAATTGTCTCTTTTCTTTCCTTATTGCTTGTTGTTTCAATAAATTGACCCCACCTTGTTCATACTTTTTTTAAAGGATGATAAGCTAAGAAATGCTGTAGAATATCATGGTTGCAATGATTGGAAAGTGATTGCTAGTTATGTTGATCGAAATGAGTTACAGTGTATCCAACGATGGCAGAAAGTCCTGAACCCTGACCTGGTCAAAGGGCCTTGGACAAAAGAAGTTAGTGTTTTATTTTAATCTGATAAATGATTTTAAGTAAAATGTATTTGATTACCATTCTCAACACCGCAGAGTGGATAATTTGTAATAGAGCTTCTGTTTTATTAACTGTTTTATGTTGTTTAAAATTTTTCCTGCATGTTTATTTTATAAGTAATTGATTATAACTATTGATTTCTGTTGATAAATTTTTTTTGCTGAATATAAACATTTGCCCACAAACTCCATTATTACCATTTTATGATATTCTAATTTAGGAAGATGACGCGATAGTTCACCTAGTTGGCGTATATGGACCACGACGTTGGTCATTCATAGCTGAATATTTACCAGGAAGGGTAGGAAAACAGTGTAGAGAGAGGTAGGCAGGAAAGCTAGGTTACATTTAAGATAGGATTAAACTATAGTAGAAGGAAGAGCTTGTTGAGAACTGAAGGGTAGCCAGCACTACTAGAATAGGTAAGCAATTATGAGTTCGATTTTGATGATATAAAACCTAAAAATGCAGATTTGATGTGGATTTGAAAAGACATGTGCATATAGTATGCCATCTTGAAAATATTAAGCATGTACAGTTTGACTTTGAAGGAATGGTGCAAATGTCATAGTTTATCGCCAGGGAGATTGGGGTGATGTGAACCAAGTTACAGTAGAATGAGGTAGGATAATGTAAACTGACATAAGAAAAAAGAAGAAAAAGTATGAATAATTACAGGGAAAGACTGAAATAATGGGTAATAATAGACATAGGGTAACAGCAGATAGGATTGCTGCTACTTTGTAGTGAGGATGTAGGTGTAGGTGAGGATATTTTCAGAATAAATAAATTTATTGGACATGAGATGACAATGAGGACAAAAGTAAGATCAAACTAAATTTCTGCCTTATGTATAATTAGTTAGTTGTACATCAGGTTAAAAAGGTTAGGCTTAGAAGATTCTGAAGAAATAGAGGGCATTGATTTTACCCCCACACATGTCACCCTTAGAATTATGAGATAGAATTTTTCAAGTAAGAACTCTAGCCATAATCTAGTGTCTTAAGCAACCAAGATTTAGCATTGGTTACATCACCACATATGCTAATTTCATAAAATTCTAAGCATATGTAAATCTTGATTGAATCTGTCAAGAAAGCTAGGTTTAGAGGTATTTCAATCCAGCAATACCTTCTCGCATTCTATTAAAGCATTGATAATTTAGTCTTGAATGTTAATGGACATTTCCAGAGTGTCAAACTCCACAGATGACTTATCAGAACGGGCAAGGAATATGTGTTTGCCTTACAAACCAACATGTTGACTTATTCTCATTAGAATTCTGAAACTAGTCGGAAGTCAGGTACGATAGCTAGGCATAGCAGTGTGTCGGTTTGGGCAAGACTAGGTTTAAAGTTAAGCTGAAACTACCAGGTACTGTAAAGAAGCTAGGCCTTGGAGTGCATCTGTCAGACAATGAGATAACATTGATTCCACAAATATACATGCTCATATCAAACACATCAATGCTGTGGCATTACCCTGTTAACAATACTTGATTACTTGCATCAGGAGGATGATTTGGTCGTTAGATTGGTGAAAGAATATGGCCCAAAGCGATGGTCTCTTATCTCAAAATACCTTACTGGACGTACTGGAAAGCAGTGTAGAGAACGGTAGGTTAATACATTGATACATTTGAGTTAATTAGTTTCTATTGTAACATTTGCATGTGCATTATATGGTAGGTATTGATTTCTTAATTTTAAATATAAGTAGGCCTGATGTTTACAAATATTGCCAATGCTAGTGTGTATTTGAAGTAATAACAATATACTACTGAGCTTATTCCAATTAATATTGTTTATAGATGTACCAAATTTGCATATTGTTAATACTGTACAAAGTATTTAATCTAAATACAGTAGATTCAACACAATTTTACATTGTTTCAGATGGCACAACCATCTCAATCCAAATATCAAGAAATCAGCATGGACTGTTGAAGAGGACCGAATCATCTACGAGGCACATAAGCGTCTCGGTAACAAATGGGCGGAGATTGCCAAATTGCTTCCGGGAAGGTAAATGACATTTTATTGGCATTGAGGTACATCATATTTATTCACCCTTTTCTATGTGGAAACATCACTTGGATGATTAATTGTTTACATTGGCACATAAACACCTAAAAAGCTTTAGGGACTTCACCCTTGTAGTGAGCGTGCCACTTCAGGGAAAACAAGCAGATAAAAAGCATGGTAAAAAAAAAAATCCGGTTTGTACAACTTTTCTATAATTATTTAATTACTTACTTCTATAAATTTGTTTCTAGACCCCACTTCCTGACACTCAACCCCACTTGGGTTCTTAGGCAACCCTATACCTCGCTGTTAGGGGGCCTGGCAGTTCCTGGGCCACTTTTGGCGGCCCTGGGGCCTGTGGAAAGTACCGAAAATACAACATATCAGAGACAAAAACCCATTTTCTACTTTTCTCCTAATTAAATATTTAATGATTCATTTACCTATGACTGAATAATTTTTCATTTGTGTCTTGTTTATTTATGCCTTTCAGAACGGATAATGCAATAAAAAACCATTGGAATTCAACAATGAAACGAAAAGCAGAAAGTAAAAGCAACCCATACTCTCCTAGCAACCAGTTAGCCTGTGGCTACAGATACGGACAGGTAACTAAGTTCCTATCTTGAATAAGTTAAAACAAACTCTGAAATTACAGTTTGTTGTGTGTAATGTATAATTTATGAATAATTATTTTGTATTAGTAATAATGATTTTCATAATTTATAAGATATTCAGCAGTATTGATATTTTAAATTTTTTTTAGTGCAAGTCTTTACAATGATTTAATTAGTTAAACATGCAATTTCTCTCTTTTTGAAGATCATTTATTCACGCCCATCTGGTGAAAGTGGGATTCCAACTTCCGAACATGTTTTTCCCCCCTAGTCATCCTGTAATTAATCTTCTTTACTGTTTATCATACCAAACAAATGAATAATATTTTTTTTGTATTTGTCTGTTTAAAGGCCTCTTCTGTATACCCAGTGTATCTAAGCAGCAGCAATGCAGGCATATCAAGTGCTCAGCAAAGCCAAGAGGGAAGCAGTCTGAGAAGTAAGTATATTTCATACTAAATTTACCCAAGTCACCAAACTTGGTTTTTATTACATGCTCTGTGGATAACACTCTGCAGTATGTATTATGCTCTATTGTATTGATCTTCATTGGCCAAGTCTCTTTATTTAGCTTGGGGATTAAATATGTGATTAACTAGCTGCTTTTATGTTTCAAAACAAAGTGTCTTTATTAGACTCTAAGATTGATAAGCTGATCTCTGGGATCTTCATTCAATGTCTTACAACCATGTCTCTAGAAGTGTTGAGTACTGATGACTTAAAACACTCCATTCTTTGAATCCTATTTTCTGTTTATGCCTATCTGACATTTCTGATAGAAAATTTGCTCAATCCTATCCTACTTCCTATTTTGGTTTGGTTTTGTTTTTTTAAAAACCTTGTTCTTGGATTAATTTTTAAAAAATGAGACATTGCAAGCCTATTTACCTGAAGTACAATACAGATCATTTAGAATAATTATAATAATACAGTAAAATGTCCATTTTACGAATGGTCTTTGCTCCTGATGACATCATCAGCCAAATAATACCATTAAAAAAAGTCCAATTGTCAACGTTTTACAAAGTGATAATGTATAATTTTCTTAATAAAATCAAGTTTGTTGTAAAATAGTTCAATCTTTTCTTTCTTTTCTTCTATAATAATCACTATATTAATGTAATAATATATAACCAGAACAACGAACTACCAACACAAGTGACGTCGGATTGAGCACACATGTTTACGATGACGAAATAAACAAGAGTGTTGGGGTCAACAACTTATTGACATCATGAATGCTAGATGATCTCGAAATGCGTGTAAACAACACAATTCTGCAATCTAAAAACTAGAAAGAACATGATAGAAAGGTCCATAAAACATACAGATGTTTGAATAAGAGTTAAAACATTTTGTTAAGTGGAAGAATGCCAGCGATTATAATAATTTGGTTTTTATCGAAGGTCAGTTCAGCTAGGCTCTAACGCGGTAGACCACGCTGCTGCACTGTCGGATCATGCTAGGCCTGTCCGCCGTCAGCCTATCGGCGCTTAATGGCAGAGGATAGCTAGGCCTAGGAAACTGACACCCATCTAGCTTACGAACACCCCTTGGTACCAAGGGGTACGTAAAATGGATGTTGTACTGTGTCCTATATATATTGCACCTTGCAGATTGCAGTTCCCTCTAAGTACTTTACATAAAGTTTTGAACTATGGTGCAAAACTATCCACCTTCGATTCTTTACAATTGTCTTTATATGTTCATCTGAATCTCCTGAATAGAAAATGAGATACAGTTAAACTTGCCTAATTCGACTTTGCCTAACTCAAATAATTTCTAAGTCAAACTTATTTTACATGCCAAATTGTTGTGTTTTCCATTAATTAACAATCTGTAAGTCGAATTTTAAGTCGAAAAATTTTTTAATATCATTTTGGATTCAACTTAGGCAAGTTCAACTCTATTACATTCATATAAACCTGAATGGAAAATACATAGGATGGAAATATTTTTATGCATTACCTTGTAGGCATTCTTCAAACAAACATGAGACGAGGCACAATGCCCTCGACATCTAGCCAGCTGTCAGGCATGATGAATGTACAAGAGAGTCCCATGCGTTGGATTGTGATGGACAATGAGGACACCATTTCACCCTTTAGGTATTGTAACAAAAACTTATTGTATCAATAATTGAAATTTGTTATATACATTCAAATTCTTTTTTCTTTACTGATAGTCATTTAGTTGAAAACTGTATTGTATTTTTTGCCATGCAGAGATATACCAGAAATCGCCGATACAAACTTCTTGGAACAAGACCCTCGATTGGATGATCTTAGCACGTTTGAAATGCTTAACCTTCTGGGTGAGGAAACACGTGGAGTAACTCCAATAAAACTGACCAAGCTTCATCAAAAAGGTGCCACAGGTAAATTACAATTTTACCATTCTAAATTTATTTATATTTAATTTTATTTATTTTGCATTCAAGAGCAAATAAACAATTTGCCAATTTCGAGATGGATAAAGATATTTTAAGTTGTGAATAAAAAACTTTGTTAAAAAAAAAAATTTAAACCCAGGACTTTAGGATTGTAATGTAAGGCAAGCACCACATCCAAGCTCTGTTGATTATAGAGTACTACAGTGTTACGTCATGATACCACGTGATACTACTAGGTTCCTATCAGACAAACCATTGACCCCCATCTTTTTCTTTGTAAATTTTAATTGATGATTAAATGTGTGTTCGATAACTAATATAATGCAAGCTTTTGTGTTTTTAGTACATGTTGATGGTAAAATATTAGATTTTAAAATGACTATTCCAGAAAGCCTATGAAGTCATTCAGGCATAATGAACGGTAACTAGCATCCGTTGACAACAGAGAGCGCCACCTAGCGTCGTGACGACACGACTGTGGTACTATATACAATCTTGCATGTATTTATTGTAGGTTATCGATTTGACGGACATGCCATAGCAAACTTGTCTAAGGACACTTCTGGACGTCTGATACCAATCACCTCACCAGTGACATCCAAGTATAGCACACCACCTACCATCCTAAGGAAAAAAAGAAAGCGATCTGTATCCTTTAGATTTCATGCATTAATCCTGTTTTGAAGTCTTAGTAAAGTTAATTAATACCAGGCTCCTGAGGATAAACAAAAAATTGATATGTTGTAAAACTGATTTTTCTAACACAAGAAGGATCTTTGAAAAAAAAAACTTGGGTACTGTTAAATAGATTTTTTAATATTTAAAAACTGGGAGAACGGGGCTTAATCACCCTTTTTTCAACATTTTTCCCCAGTGTTTGAATATTCAAAAATCCGGAATGGTCATTAACCATTCCGGAGTTTTTTGTCAAACACCCTTTTTATTGTATCAGTTGTAAAACATATCAAAACAATGATGATGATGATAATGATGAACACAATATGAAAGGTGGTGATGATGCAAAGTTACATATGTGACCTGCTACCACGAAATGGCTGTAAACTCGTACCTAGTCAAAAATTAGATATTGCTATAGTCTTATAGAACACATTACGAGATTTAAAATGGTGATTAAACCATTTCAATCGGAAATCTAGAAGCAATTCTACGGCCATTTGAATAGTTACTAACTTCCAGAAATAAAAATTTGAAGTTTTGAGAAAAAGGCTAATGAAATTAACCATACTTAAATTTGAAGGATATTGCAAGTGTATACCAATAATATACCTTAGCAACCAGTACTTCTTGTAGGCCTACCAAAACCAAATTTTGCACAGACGTTGTGCAAAGGTAGAGGAACAAGTACCAAATATTTCAAAGTTGTACCCCCCGGGGGAGGGGAATGGCAGCCATTTTAAAATGGCGTCATATTATAACTATACAAAATGGATATTATTGTCTCATGTGGTTTTTTGAACTATAGCTGTCCTCTTAGAAAACCCTAGAATGATATTTACAACCAAGGAATATGAGGAAATACTTGTAGATGTTGAGAATGGGGGTAGGGGATGTGACAGTATTTTGTGCTTTATAGTAGGAATATTAGGTCCAAACTTAGTAAATAGTGAAATCAAAGGTATTACTTTATTATTCTACCAAAAACTCATTTTCCAAAAAATACACGTATTTCGACCTATTCCAGCTTAATAGGCATTTTTCTCATTACACGACGGTGCGACTTTACAGCCCAACCGTCGTAGCAGGTCACATGTTGTATTGCTTTTATGCGCTAGATAAATATGTTTCTTAACTACATGTAAAAGCATTTGGATAGAAGTTCAAGGAGCAGTAATTCATCTCTCTTGAAGACACCAGATATTAAACAACGCTGTAAAGACACCAGCACACCCAAGACAACACCTATAAAACCATTGACGTTCTCACCATCACAGGTAATCTAAAACTAGGCTTAACAACTTGAGTTTCCATTCAAATCTATTTTTAAGTGTTTGTTGCAGATCTAATCAATCAGTCTTTTATTATTGTACCAAATATTATATAATAAAAAATGAAAGGAGCTTTCACTGTGTTGAGACTGCCTTTGGGAATGTTGTCTATGTTGTAAACAGATAAATGCCAAGTTTCCTTTTTGGAAGGAGGTATTTGTTCAGGTATTCAAATAAATCAGACATGCTGTTAATCTATGAGTGAGATAGTTCCCTGTCTTTTCTTTCTTTTCTTTTATTGTTTATCCTGGGGGACTGCTCAGGGATAAAATCACTGATCCTCCACAGATCCCAGCACTTCCCATCCCCTCTCACCCCATGAACCCTACCAGGAATTTTTATCCTGGGACCCTTATCGAGGCTCTAGTCGACCCCTTGGTTTCTGACCCCGTTGTCGGACATGACAGAGCCTTTGTCAGCAAATATCTGGAGCCACTGCTGCGTGTGAGATGCGCAATTTCATTGTTATTCTATTATGTTTAACAGCTAGGTTCGTTTATTGGTTTATCCTGGTAGTATTTCATTCATATACTTCCATAAATCACTGCTGGGGGTGTGTAAATTTTGCTGTAATTTCAACCTAAATAGCATTTATTATTGTTTGATTTGTCTTTTCTTCTTTTCACAGTTCTTCAACTTACATAGTCCAATAATAGGAATAACACCTGTTAAACAACAGCTGACATCAACTCCCATCTCCAAGATAGAGCCAAGTACAAGTGTGTTGAGTACACCTCAGTTTTTGACACAGACACCAAGTGACAAGGAAAACTTCCCAGAGTAAGTAAATACTTGATAAATTCAGAATTAAAATAATCATACAATTTGTTTTAAGATCAGCTGAACAGTACACCAATTGTAATATTTAGTTCTAATGTAAAGTAATTTAACTATTCTTTTTTAGTGGGTTCTTCAGGACACCTAAAATTCGCAGGGCTTTGTTAGAGACTCCAAGAACTCCAACACCCCTAAAGGATGCCCTTGCAGCCTTGGAAAAGAAAAGTGGACCTATTCGCAAGCTGGTTAGTTATAGTAATTTTATTCACATTTTATATGTCATAACTAAGTGGAGTAGCTATGATGTTTTGTAAGACTATTTCAGTTGTTACCTTGATTTGAAAAAGATGTTGCAGACAATTTATTTCTCCTTTCTACAATTCTTCGATGAAATTGCAAACTATAAAAAATACTACCAGTGTAGCCCGCAATTCATAGCAGTGTTCTCTCAATTGTTACATTTTTTACTTATAGATTTGTTAATATAAATTCGGACTATGCAGGCAGTGTGAGTCGTTACCCCTTTTGAGTAGGGTTTTATGACTTGAAAAAAACAACATGTACAGTCATAGCGTAGGCATAGACAGGAATGATGCTCATTTGTTGAAAGAAGGCCAGACTAGGCTACCTAGACCTAATCAGTACTTTTAATTTTACCCAAAAAAAAAAAAAAACTTTTCCTATGGTTGGCCAGTTATATTTACCAGTAAAATTGATGGCTAAATCAGCTTAAGGAAAACACTGCAAAGATAACTCATTCTTGTGCCAAATTTGCACTATTCAAATTCAAATCAATGTACCTAACTTGCTATTATTTTGTTATATATGTTCTACTGTATATACAGTATTTTTATATTTAGTGGTTAATTGGAAATATAATAATGTTTTATCCTACTAATGAAGTAATGATCTCTAATCAAATAATGCCACAACATAACAGCAGTATATTATTCCATTCATAAAACATAAAGTTTGTTGTGTGGTAACTAAAGTTTGTTGTGTGGTAACTAAAGTTTGTTGTGTGGTAACTAAAGTTTGTTGTGTGGTAACTAAAGTTTGTTGTGTGGTAACTAAATTTTATGCCAATTTTAAATCAATAACAAAGCTATCTTATCTTCCACAGCCTCTGACACCAGACAATCTTGTAGAAGATATATCAGAAATCATTAAGAAAGATGAAGAATTGTCCGGATTTAAAGCAATGTCTTCTTTTAAACGAAAGCAGACACAGGTGAGAAAATATTTTTATGTTGGATAATTATTACTATATATATATTTATTCATCATTCATACAATATCAGCCCAAAGAAATGAATAAAAGTACCAATTTACTATTCAGTCACATTACAAAAACATATACAGAATATACAATATAGAAAATTACAAATGTAATGCTATACAACAAAAAAAGAACATTTATAAAAAAGAACAAAATTTGTAATAATCAATATATTAAAATCAATATTAGAAAAATACATGAAAAGTATTTTAAACAGAGCTCTCAGAACTAATTTCACAAACTTGTAAATAGATTTTTACCCAAAAAAAAATTGCCTGTTTGTAGCTAGATTGTTAATATATTTGCTTTCTTTTTTTCAGATTGACACTCCTGTAAAGACAGTGAGGAAAACTCTAAGCAGCCAGTGGGCGGATGAAAAGAAAAACACAGATGACTACTTCTTCTCTATGCCTGGCACTGCAGAAACGCCTGTATGTTGTATATGCTATTGTTTCTAATATTTTTAAATAGTAATGCCAGTAGGAAAGCAGGTAGACCTTAAGAAATAACAAGGACAACAATGGTAGTGATTATAATGATGATAATGAAAATGATTATGATGTGGTTTAATGTGGTGGTGATGATGATGACATTGACATTGATGATGAGGGTGATGGTGGTAATGAGGATGGAAACAGGATTCAGGAGGGGGTGTAGCTTGGTGAAAGTAAGCTACTGTATTTCTATTTAAAGGTAAGTTTTGTTTATTTCACGATTTCTATGTTTATTTTGTGTTAAGTCGTTATTGGATACCAATGTTTTGTTTTCTTTTTATGTTTTTTTAGTTATCACTAATTGTGTTATATTAATTTGCATGTGTTTCATACAATACTAGATATCAAATATATTTAAAATGTATAGATTTTTATGGAAAGTTCACATGATTAACATTGATTTATTCTATTTATTAATGGAATGGAGCACATGTTGGGTAAGGTGCTTTCTAATCTTAGTTAAAATCTCCAGGATTGTTTTTCTTATGGATGAAAACAACCGGTCTTCCTAAGCCTAGCCTAATAAACGAGGATTACTTTGCTTGTAGTTGGATATAGAAGAAGGAAAAATGAATTTATTTTATTATTTAAAATCTATATTAATTTAATATATCCATTATACATGCTTGTATTATTGCTTCTCTTTATGTTTTAAGGATTTTTATTGTTTTTTGTAAGCTCAACAATGTGTCAACATTACCAGCTACAAAATACTTTTAAAAATTTAGGTACAGTGTTGGTGATAATAATAAGCCAACTACATGTTAAACCATATTTACACATCTGTCTCTTAATGTACCTTGCATTTCTATCTCCAGTCCTCACAGTTTCCTAATTCTGATAGTAATGCGATCATTCGTCAGCTTTTCCGTGATTCTTCAACCCTTTTATCTGATGATACAAATATGGTAAATAAAAAAATTTCATGAAACATCCAAAATCATTTTTTTTTTATTCCAGAGCATGAGTGGTGTGATTGCTTTTCATGAACTTTCTAACAATTCATCGTGCACCTAAAACACATTAATTTCACTTTATTATTACATTATTTCTAATTTTTCCCTATGGTATAATAGAGGGCGCCAGAACAGCTAATTCAATTTTATGTTTAAAAACACAAAATGACTAATTAATAAGTTAGAAAAAAAGGGGAAAATATCTGTAAGCTGTTTTTATTTATTTTTTTAGCTGTTTTTCAGTTTACACAAAAATTTCATTTGCACAATCATCACTTGAAGGGTTCTTGCTGCTTTGGTTTCTTATCAGCTGCAAGCATCCAAAGCTTTTTATTAATATTAACTGTTATAAATTTAGAAATTTATCTCTTCTCATATTACATAATGAATTTCATCGCTGGATAAGTGTTTATGATGCTAATAAGTTGGATTATTGAATCCATCATGGTAGTTAGAATTGTTTATAAATTATTAACTTTCATCACATTAACATGTCTTTCCTGCTAATTTTGATATGATACCTTAACACTTGATTATTAATGCACAGGTTATTATTGAAAATATTACATACACAATTACAACCTTATTGTATATGTACCGTTTGATTTACCAGTATTGACTGCAATGAGCTAAACAATTTCAAAAATAAATTTCAATATTTCTTTTTATATTTAAATATTAACTTTCAATAGAAAATTAAAATGGAATAAAATTGTTTTCCCATTTAATGACTATAAAATAATACTTTTGCTTTATTCTTTTTAATAGACTCTTAACTTCACTGGTAGTAAATTTTATTGTATGTCTAAGTCAGTGAAAATTAATTGTGTTATTGAAACACAATTCAAAATATTTGTGGTTATTTGAAAGTAAATATTTATGGATTGTTTTTTATGGAAAGTAAAAATTTATGGATTTTCAATATTTTACCACAGACGTTATTTATTTAACATAATTTTTTTTTTTTTTTAAGTGGCTCTCTTATGCCAATATCGCACCCAAATAAATCCTGTTAAAAACTTAACTATCCTGTGCTTTCTGTACACACGATTGGTTGCGATCAACTGCACAGTAGCATTGACATCAAAATATAACGCAACATGTGGTTTGTCTCGTTGATAGGCTGTCATGATGAACTGTGCGGGCACATCCTTGGCTCTCCATATCTTCTGCATATCTAATTGGACGTAATACCAAACAGTGTGTAGCCATAGTAACATAAAAATTTAAACATCCTGTGATGTCCATCTCTAACTGGCTCTAATATAGTGTACAGCCACACTAACATTTAAATATAAAAATCCTTTGATTTCTGTCATTGATTGGCTGTAATATATGTCATGTAGCCCAATATTTAATTTATGCATGACTTGTAAGTCAACTTGTTAGAGAGACTCTTTAACCTGTATTGTCTTTTTTCACCAACTAACACTTCACATCTATGTTTGTGTGTGTGTTGTTCTTAGGGTAGTTATAGTTTCCCGTCACTGGAGCATTTTGGCTCTGAACCAGCACCGCTGAGTCATTTACTACCACCCATTACTAACACAAACTTTGGTGCTGTACCATATAATACACCTGATTTTGACCAAATGGATTCGCAGGTGAGTCCACATTCAAAGATGATTTACTTATCACATTTTCTTTTTTATTGCAAACCCAGATAAACAGCCAGTTGCCAATGTTCCCTCCTTCCCTAGTACTTGGCCACATAGTGAAAAGGGAATGAGGATGTTGACATGGTTTTATCATAGATTTCCAATGGGACAAAAAATTCTGTTGTGTTTTAGGCATGGGAATATTGTCAATTATTAGTTTATCTAGGTATCCAACATATACTACTAGCAGTTTGTGTAATATAATAACTAATGTTGCATCATCTATTGTTGCAGGTAAGGTAATCAAGTAAAAACAATTGATAATATGTTTAGCATTTTCATACTAGTCTCAAATTATCATCTCTAGTTGAATATCAATCCTCGCTGATTTATCAAACAGACTTAATTATTCCAAGAATAGGCAATGATGGGAATAGATAGCAATATGTTATTGTGGTACATTGAGATAATTTAATAAGTTCAATTTATGCCATATTTATTCTTAGAAATTATATTATATTTTGTTATACTGTAGTTATTTTTTATTTTTGTGGTATTTTACTTTTCATATACAGTATATCGGTTCTAAATTCTACTTATGTCTAGGAAGGGTATAGAAGAATTTTAATGGTACAGCATGCGTTATGCAAACAAATTAAATGACAAACATCAAGTGAAAGACCTAACTAAATGTTACAATGTTTTGTTTTTAGAGCTCGTCTATCCTGGCTGAGTCCTCACTTCTCATGTCCCCTGAAGTACCAAGCAAGAACAGCAGCGATAGTTTCTCTGTTACCCTTGACCAGGGCTTTATTGTTCCAGCAGTACAGACCAATATCAGTAAATACAGATCTAACAAATACGACAAAGGTATAACTTGGGAATTCCCCTTTATGCCTATTCTAAACAACAGAGATGTGGTGTTGTCTGGGCCTGTTGAGACAAACTAAACCCATGTGGGCTGCACGGTATTCCCAAGTTATACCTTTGTCGTATAGGTAATCTTACAATATTTTCATGTTCTTTATTTTAGTTAAATAAAAGATATAAAGTGATGAATTAATATACTAGACACATGGTTTTTATTTGAACACTTTATTATGACATCGTAAAGTGATGAATAAGAACACTAAACACATGGCTTTATTCGTAGGCCTAGAGGCTAGGTCTAGCCTAGGTATCATCGTTTGTTCGTACATACGTTTATTGAGCGTTACGTACGTATTAGGTCAAAGGTTACCACAAATTTAACCCAACCTCTATTTTACGAATCCCCCGATTTACGTACGCCCTCTGGTCCCGTACCGTACGTAAAATCGAGGTTCTACTGTACTTACCACATTTTCTTTTTTATTGCAAACCCAGATAAACAGCCAGTTGCCAATGTTCCCCCCTTCCCTAGTACTTGGCCACATAGTGAAAAGGGAATGATGATGTTGACATGGTTATATCATAGATTTCCAATGGGACAAAAAATTCTGTTGTGTTTTAGGCATGGGAATATTGTCAATTATTAGTTTATCTAGGTATCCCACATATACTACTAGCAGTTTGTGTAATATAATAACTAATGTTGCATCATCTATTGTTGCAGGTAAGGTAATCAAGTAAAAACAATTGATAATGTGTTTAGCATTTTCATACTAGTCTCAAATTATCATCTCTAGTTGAATATCAATCCTCGCTGATTTATCAAACAGACTTAATTATTCCAAGAATAGGCAATGATGGGAATAGATAGCAATATGTTATTGTGGTACATTGAGATAATTTAATAAGTTCAATTTATGCCATATTTATTCTTAGAAATTATATTATATTTTGTTATACTGTAGTTATTTTTTATTTTTGTGGTATTTTACTTTTCATATACAGTATATCGGTTCTAAATTCTACTTATGTCTAGGAAGGGTATAGAAGAATTTTAATGGTACAGCATGCGTTATGCAAACAAATTAAATGACAAACATCAAGTGAAAGACCTAACTAAATGTTACAATGTTTTGTTTTTAGAGCTCGTCTATCCTGGCTGAGTCCTCACTTCTCATGTCCCCTGAAGTACCAAGCAAGAACAGCAGCGATAGTTTCTCTGTTACCCTTGACCAGGGCTTTATTGTTCCAGCAGTACAGACCAATATCAGTAAATACAGATCTAACAAGTCCTTGAGAGACTTGAAGAGGTTCAACGAAACCCCCTATAAACCCTCAATTAAGGTTAGTATCTGGTAGGCAATTCTACTTTAGTCAGCAGAAACAATGTCTGTTAAAGTTGGGCACACACTGCGCCAGACAAGATTCCATGTAAAATGCGACAAGGGACGCGCAAAATATTAATGACGATCCATTCATACTGCTACATTTAATCAAAAAATGGTGCCGCATCATCAAACACTTTAAGGGCAAGGATGATTCGTCATTTTGAAGATTCAACATTTTGATCTATTTGAACATTTTTAAGAATCATGAATGTTTTCTCAAAGCTTGTATGTTGATGTGGTTAATTAAGATGACAACCAATAGTCTGTGAGGCTATTAGACTTCATTTTGTCGTGATTCAGCCTTAAGGGTCATCCTCAGGACTGAAAAAGGTGCGCCACTGCACAACCGGTGTCAGAGGCATTGTTAATGCTTCCGGGAGCAATTTTTTCTAATGTTAGTCATTGCTTGTTTAAAGCAATGTTTACATTAATTTATTTCTCAAATATTCCCATTGTTTTTCATAAAATATGTTCTACTTTGCTGTAGTATAAAACTAGCAGCAGCATGTATGTAGCTTGCTGGCCCTTGGGTTAAAATTCTGCAAAAACAGGAATTTTGCTCACAATTGACGGTTCTACCAATCCCCTTACCTTGAATATTGTTGTTAACATCCCACAACATGACAGCAATTGTAGTGCGAACATGGCTTTGTGTGCAGTTTAAGCTTATGGGTCATTGGCATGTGCATATTCCTGATCCTGCCTACTGAATAACAATACATGCCCTGATTGGCACTCCAAAAATGTCCAATACAAAACATTCCACTTCGCATCAAACATCGCATTAAGAATTTATAGAGCAGCATAGAGTTTTTTTGCATCCTGTAAGTGGAGAGTTTTTGTTTGTTGAGACTTAAATAGAGAGCAGCTTAGCCTAGTTGGCTAAATTGCTGGTAAACATTTGTGTGCGCACTGAACCATGAAGATCCTCACTCAACCTTGGTTTCCAGTTTCATTAATTCCCTGCTCTCCTTGTCTTTGAACTTGAGGGCTAAAATGCAAGAGCAGAAGGGATTGTCTTCCCGTGGACTGCCCAATTTACCACCAGATGGTCCCCCACTGAAAACAAGTTATCAGATTTCTGTGGGTTATCCTTGTTGTGTTTTAAATCCAAATCCAAGTTACGAGCTCGGATACAGGTACTGTATATGGTAGTGTGTTTTAAATTCCTGCAATTTCTATTGATTATTTTCAGTTGAACAGGGCATGGGAGGCTGTGGCTTGTGGCCAGACAGCTGATCAACTCCTCCTCATTCAGCAAGCCAAGAAATACCTCTTCAGCAGTATCAAGCCAAGGTCCTTGAAACTATAAAGCATTGCAGAACACACGTCAAACCCACAGATTTTTTGGGGGGGTGGGGTGTTTTTTTTTTGTGCGTGAGATTTAAAGACACCACTCTCTCACTTAGTGAGTTCACCACATTTGTCAGAGTTCAGATTTTCTTTGTATTGTGTTTCGTTGCAGCTATGTTGGGGTTTATATGCTTTGATTCTTAGTGCGTGCGAATTAAAGACACCACTCTCTCACTTAGTGAGTTCACCACATTTGTTAGAGTTCAGATTTTCTTTGTATTGTGTTTCGTTGCAGCTATGTTGGGGTTCTTATACTTTGATTCTTAGTTATGTACGGGAAATTCTATATCTAATGAAAATAATGATAATTTACAAAGTGTAAAATATATTTATTATTTATGATCTGATATACGTAAAGGATTGCCTACGTATTGGTGAACTCCTAAAGGGCAGTTTAAAATTTGATTAAATGAATAAATTAGATTTAGTCTTTATATTGAAACTTTATTCTTGATAACTTCTGTTTTTGCTGATTGTATATTCAATAATTAATGTGTATTTCTATTCACGTCTCATTGGTCAATTTTCATTTTTCTTTCTGCTCCTTTTTTTTTCTTTCTCATTTTCCTTAAAAGAAAATGCATCCGTTCTGTTTATCTGCAAAATTTAATTAATAATATATTCACTGCTTTCTTGCCAAGCTGTGGTGGAAGTGATACACCAGAGAGTAGATGATTTTGACAAACAATATGGTAATACACTGGTTAATCATAGCAGTAAAAAATTGCTATAACACATAGTATATTTTACGCATAATATTGCTAGAATTTTTTATACTAAACATGAAAAAATTATTACCTAGTTATAATATACGGCCTTGCTCATCAGCAAACATATAATATATTTTCCAAACAAAAATATTCTATATTTTTGCCTAGATAAATAGGTTTTGTCTGTGTTAATATTTTTATGCTTATAAACACAATTTGGAATGATGTGGAAACAATCCAGTAGCTTAGTAAAAATAGCTGATTTTACAGTATATAAAGTCTGGTATAATATGGAATATACATCGACAATAGTATCATTATAGAATCATTTATATTCAATAGTATTTCTATATGTTGATGTGATAAATTTTGCCATGTATATTTATTTTTATCTTGACAATTTTAATGACCTAATTTGTGTAGCTTATTACTATTATTTTGTAGTAAATATTTATATTAAAGTTCTAATTATAATCATTATAATCATTATATTATTATTATTATTGTTATTATTTAAGTTAACACAAATTCTAGTTACATTGATATTAGTGACAGCACACAAATTTATTCAACAAAATGAGACATTAATACCTTTACTATGCCAATATTAATAATAATCAATAAGTGATTTAACACAATACATATACTGTAATTTAAGAGAATGGGAATATGTAAAATGACATTGCCTGCATTGTTCTGTCTTTTTGCTGGTGTATGAGAGGCTAGCGAGTGGTGACCTTATGTAGAATATTATGCAAGGATTGTCAAAACAGTCTCCCGTGATTGTGAAGGTTCTGGTAAATGACCAGCGTGTTGTATAAACCTCTGCACAATTAAAAAAGCATAAATATTGTGTAAATTGACTTACTCTCAACTACCTTTGTCAGGTAGCATATCCCTCAAGGATTTCAAACAGTGTTAAAAAAAGATGTTTTCGTTCCGTTCCCAGGTTATTATATCATATGAAGATGAAGAATTGTATATAAATGTACAATAAGTTGATTACCTTGTAAGGATCATTAACAGCAGGTTAAACACAATTTTTTGTTATGTATATCAGTTTTGATTGAGCATGAATTCAGTTTCAAAAATGTATATACAGTACTGTGTAGGTTTTTGGTTTGAGATGTGAATCTCTAGCAGGCTAGTCTTGCATTGAATGCTTTGGTTTTGATTCTCTCAGTTCTGGTTAGTTGTAAGATATCTCTTGATTCTTAAATTTTATTTTCAGGCATTTACAAGCTTGTTTATATAAAGCGCATTGCAAGCCATAGCATGTTGCGATGTACAAATGCCTCCCTCTCTCTCTCCCTCTAAAAATAAAAAATAAAATACACCTAATTAAGCACAAAAAAGGGTATTTCCTAAGCACAGAGACATTCCCACCTTTTTTTGGTTGGTGGGAGAGGGGGGTTGGGGGTTTATTAATCACCAAGCTCGTTGCCAACCATTATTTAAACCACCTCATGCATTTTGGTTGGTGGAATAGTAACCACATGACTAAAATCCATGGTTAGGTTATCAAATCAAATTAATTGCAGCTTAAACATCATACCAGCATGTGCAGCTCCTTAATAAAAAGAATATATTTTTTTCCAAAAAAAAGCTGGCCCCTGACTTTCAAGACTTTGACCTCTGCTTGGGCAACACAAACTCCCATTTTTGTGTTTATCACGTATCTCTTAAAGTGATTCGTAATGATAGTTTGCGTGGTAACATGATGTGCTATATTAATTTAGTGTCCCTATCTCAGGAAGGTGAGAATGTTTAATTTCTGACAGGTGGGAAAGATTGTTATCAATTTTTCATGTATCTATAAATACTTTTAAAAAAAAAAGATTATTATATTAAGTTTAATAGTTCAGAAAAATTGTTTTGACGTGGAAGGTTTTCCTTGGAATCTTATATAATTTACATGTAGTAATTTTTCAATTTTTATCAAATTAAATTTTTCATTTTTCCAGTAGTATACAGCAGTTCCTGTATTAGCATAAATAGATTGATTTTGCTAGCAATATACTTGTTTATTTATTGATTTAACTTCATTCTACTTGGTAACTCTTCATTCTTACCAGGAATTACCACTGGTTTCATAATGTCGCACGGGTCATTGTTAATTAATTTAGTGATTGATTTTCCATATTTAACATCATTTGAAAAATTGCAAGTGTGCAAATATAGAATATGAATCTAGTAATTGGCATGTTACCTCATCAAGGTGGCTGGTTTATTTCTTAAATTTTCTCTGTATGGTAATTATTTTCATAAAAGCTCTTCTGTAAGTTTGTAGGAATATGATGTATATTCCATCAGGATA